GAGACACAATTTCAAGCACCTGCAAGATTTTTCTCTCAATTGAATTTCGCTTTGTGGCTGGCTCGTTGCCGCTGCCAAGTGCTTGGAAGGAGGGGAGGGGGGGTGGGCTTGGATAGCTGGGGCGGCAAAGTGGTTGACACATGGGCGTGGAGGAGGGGGTTTCAGTGGGGCGGTGGGAGACCCGTCTGCGGTCGGACGATTTGTGTAACGTGCAATAAATAAATTACTCGTAGAATTGAATCTAGTTGTCGATGTGGCTTGTCGATAAAGCAAAGGAAGAAACTAGTCGCGGTGCCTCAGTATCAGATCCCCCTCCTCCATGGCCCCCCCTCCTCCTGACCACAAGCGGCTGCCGCCCGGCAACAGCGGAAAGCGAACACGCGATGTGGCTGCCAGTCTGTCTGCCATTTTAACTGCACCTCCGGTCCCCAGCCCGCGGTCACCAGTTTCCAGCTCAGAGCTCCAAGCTCCCGGCCGGCAACGCCAGCTCAGACTAGTTTGGATCCCGCTCCCTGACCACCGCACCCCTGTCCGCCGATGCTCACTTACATGTACGAGCAGCCAATCAGCAATGCACTTGGAAAAAAATGTTTCGAAATGAATGAGCTGAAGGGAGAAAAGATCTATTAAATTAATTTTTGATGCCATAAATTTCCTCCTGCCTAAAGTTCAATGCTTGAAATTTAAATTGTTCTTACTGCTGCTAATAGTAGCTTAAGTCGCAGGTCCTTTCTCTCAGTGTAACTTGTGGTATCGTACCTCCCCGCCCACCTGCCGCTCCTCCTCCATCGCTCCTCATTCAGCCAACGATCGCCGCAGACAAACTGGCACTCACACTTGATTGCAATGAGGCGATCGCACGGACAGATGGACGGACAAGCCAGTGACTTGGACTCGGAATCGGACTCGAACTCAGACACGGTCTCGGCTAATGAAACCTTGCACCATGTCAGTGCCACTGCACCTCCTCCTGCGCCAATCCGCTCCCCAAACTAACCAGCCATTCTGAAGACTGGGCCAAGAAAAAAAAAGAAGTGGTCTGTTCTTGGCCAGACATTTGAATGCTGCTCGCACCGTCAACGAGCTTTAGGTTCTGATTCTCATGGGTGGTTATTAATTGGGAGATTGGTTATGGATTACAGAATAAATTCGTAAAAATGAATTCAAGCCATGCAGTTTTAATTAATGGTTTCGACAACTACAGTGCTAATTCCGTAACCTAAACTAATAAAATATGGTTGATACTTACACATCGACATGATTCACGAATATTAGCGGAGTAGTGTGAAACACCAAATTGCTTAGAGCCCAATTAGCACCTTTTTTATTTAGGTATCATATGTGCACCACAAATTTTACCTAAGGTAGAAAGTCATCTGAGTGATAGAGATAGATCTGGGATATAGATACGCTATGTTCTTACGATGGATATAGATGATATTGCTATTTGCGAAGATCGAATTGAAATGGTATAATGGCTGCAAAATCTGCCGATCAGTGTGCAAACCAGCGACTGTGGACTGTAAACGCAATTAGGCGGTGGAAAGCCAGATCCCGAGGCGGATAACCGAATCCCCCGTCCGGTTATGTCTGTTTTGTTCCGCACCTTCCCGGTGCGGCGGTCTCATAAAGAATTACGATCTGAGAACGACCGGCTCTCTGAGAGCGGCGAGCTACAAGTGAGTGCGAGTGTGTGAGTGAGCCGGCGTCGCATATAAATGGAACAGCGCTGCGGCCACCAGTTCAGTTCTGTTACAGTTTCCAGCTGTTGAACACGACTTTTGAGAGCCGCCGATCCCAACTGATCCGAACTGATCCGAAGTTAACCAAGCCGATTCGTGATCCTCGCTTTTTAATTCGCCGTGAACCGCAATCGCAGCAGCCATCCCCCACCAAAAAACCAACACACCTTGACTCGAGTGTAATGTCGATGAACCGTGCGTATTCAAACGAGTGCCGCGCCAACCACACAACCAGCAAGAATCAGACCAAGTCCACGTCCACGTCCAAGGAGTGAAGGCCCTGATATCGCCACGAGGATCGAATGTGCCAGAGTAGTCAGCTAGATATACGCTACGCCGCCTGAGACAAATACACTTCCACCACCCAACCACTCGATCCTGATCCCGATCCTGATCCGCTACTCCCGAGCACAGCATCCACACGTTCCAATACGATCCATCCTTGCCCAAGACAGACCGGCAAGCAGCCAAGATTCCGCCAACACTGAGCTGCACGACCTCCAAGACGGCATCCAGCGCCGGACCTATGTCAGTGCTAAGCCAACTGCTGCTGAACTTCAATCAGAAAGCCCAGACCAGGAGCCACCACAACATAGAGCTGATAAATTCGTTCATAACATAACGACAAGCCGAGCTGCTCCTGCTATACCTATATCGTTCAACGTTGGGGAGAAATTTGCAAACATTTTTTACCGGAAGAGAAAAAAGAAATTAAATCAAAGGGTGAGTAATGTGCGTTAACAATAGATAGGTGATTGGAAATAGGTGATTGCTGATTGCTGATTGCTGAGCGCAGTTCCGTGTTCCGTTTTCAAAATTGGAATTCGTAGAAATTCCCAACAGTAAAAAATCACCGTCGAAGGGCAAAAACCGTCTGATGCAACATTCGCCAGCGATTGGCGAATGACTTTCTGGGGGCTACCAATACAGGCATATGTATGTACATACATAATACCCTCGAAACTATTTGAATAATTAATCCGTCACGCAGTTTGTCCAGTCTAGACTATGGACACATTGGCCCTTGATCTGCGACTAAGGTGTGGGTGAATGTGTGAATTCGAATCAGGCTGTTGAATTCGAATTTAAATTGACGTCACATAGCGAGTCATTCCGTTTTCGATTTCTGCCTCTGATTCGGCCCACGCAAGAATCTTATATCATCTTATATTTTATTTAACCAATTCCGTTTTTTTTTTTCTGTTGACGTGTCATTGTGAAATATGTTTGGATGGCGAAGATCTCTCAGGGGCCGGAAAAGGATGCCGAATTCCGAATTCTGATTTTGTATTCTGAATTCCGGACTCCGAGAGCCATTGGCACATTTCGCAAGTGCTAGTAATCTTCTAGAGCCCGCCGGCTGAAGGCCTTGCGTTCTTATCGGGGAAATAGACTCGGAGACCTCCCCTGATTAATAGGCAGTGATAAGTGGGGGATGCATGACTGGCTGGAAACGCAAGCTAATCGCATCACGTTGCTCTGGGGTTTATTAACCTATATTAGAGTCGTACGAGTGCCGCCGTTGAACTTTGAACTCATTTCCGATTCGTACTCTCTGTCGATCTTGCAGAAAATGAATTTACATGTGTGCGCCTTAGCGCTGCTGCTGTTCGGCAGTATCGCAACTGTCCGCGGAAGAGCCGTGGACCTGGTAGACGATAGCAACGACGTGGACAACTCCATCGAGGCGGAGGAGGAGAAGCCCCGCAACCGAGCCTTCGAAGCCGACTGGCTCAAGTTCACCAAGACGCCGCCGACCAAGCTGCAGCAGGCCGATGGAGCCACCATCGAGATCGTTTGCGAGATGATGGGCTCCCAGGTACCCAGCATCCAGTGGGTGGTTGGTCATCTGCCACGCTCGGAGCTCGATGATCTGGACTCCAACCAGGTTGCCGAAGAGGCGCCAAGTGCCATTGTGCGCGTCCGATCGTCGCACATCATCGACCACGTGCTCAGCGAGGCACGCACCTACACGTGTGTAGGACGCACTGGCTCCAAGACCATCTATGCCAGCACAGTGGTGCATCCACCTCGCTCCTCTCGCCTGACGCCGGAGAAGACCTATCCGGGTGCCCAGAAGCCGCGCATCATCTACACCGAGAAGACGCATCTCGACCTGATGGGCTCCAACATCCAGCTGCCCTGCCGCGTGCACGCCCGTCCCCGCGCCGAGGTCACCTGGTTGAACAACGAGAACAAGGAGATCGTGCAGGGACATCGCCACAGGGTGCTGCCCAACGGTGATCTCCTGATCTCCGATATCAAGTGGGAAGACATGGGCAACTACAAGTGCATAGCCCGCAACGTCGTCGGAAAGGACACCGCCGACACCTTCGTGTATCCCGTACTTGTAAGTATTCCCCCTCTCACCTGGTTATACTAACTCATCCTAAGTAATCTCTTGTTCTGTTCTTCTGCTTGCAGAATGAGGAAGACTAAAGATCCTACCACCAAAAAAGAAACAAACAAAGGCTATTGGATTGACGACGGAAATTCATCTAGTTAGTTAGATAGATCAAATGCCTTCGAAGATGCGTGAAAAAAAGAAATATGCTTAGAAAAAATACACAAAAAAAAGAAGAAAATATGATGGATCAAAAGGTCATACGATTTACAATTATGTACAATTTAGGTTAAGCACAATCTAGCTCGTAGTCCAGGTAATTAATCGTATCTAATGCCGGCTTAGACACTAATTTTCCCACTTATTATCCTCGAATAGCAGTCACATGTAAACCATTCGAATTATAGCACCTACTTTATGGTTTCTTCAATTTTAGCATTAGTTATCGGCTTGAAATCACGCGTCTTTGGTTCTTTATAAGTAGCAATGATTGTTCCTAGCGATTCAGGCAGCTCTAGTTAACGTATTTAAACTAATTGGCCGTTTACTTAAGGGCACTGCAGCCCAAGCACTTGTAACATGTGGCGCAAGCCACAATCAATCAATCAATCAGTCAATCACCCACCCAATTCGTATTTATGTGCACCCATCATTTCTACCACTAATTTATTGATCGACCAAATTCATCCAGCATCGCCACCCATACAGAATCACTGAATAGTATTCACGGAATTAATCAGTTTCATAAGCTACCCAACTATGTTTTAATTTTTAAGGTAATAGAACTGAAATATGTTTTTCTAATTGTTTAGTCTTAGTTTTAATCCAACCTTCAAGCGATCGTTTTTGAATAAATACAAGAAAATTGAAACGAAATACTTAATGGGCAGGTGAATAAAACGAGCAATTACGAGTACATTCACTGTGCTTTTCATCACTTTATTGACAGATCTACAAACTACGAATAGTCACATTATCTACATAAACTCGTACAGTTACGTACATACATACAAGTACATTGAACGGTGAAAACAGTTTTACCATATAATGCGATACGATCCTAACAACAAATAACGAACTCGATCCAGAAGGACCTTTACGTACACAGATGATATACTATATTGCTGGAGTAGATATTGATAGCTTGTTCAGTGGTTGCAGCTGCCCGGGTCTCCAAAACGGGGGCTAATCTCACGTCCCGATTGTGCTAAAGTTCTATACTATATACGTGTATGCGATTACGATTCGTAAAATATATATGTGTTCTCAAGTCACCTTTGATATTGTCGCATGTCTTTGGAAATTCAGATTTCAGAGTCTGCGGGGGATTTTTCACAATCGCCGACGCGTAAGATCAAAGGCAGAAGTTTCGGGGATCGGAATGGTGCTGGGTGGTATGGAAATAGATAGAATCTCTTGCTCTGGCGCACTGGGTATTGTCTGACATGTGGATCTCGATTCTCGGATCTGTGTGGACGGACTGTGGTCGTGCGGTGATAATACTTCAATTGGAAATGGTCTGTTAATGATTGAGTAGCAATACCATGCGATCCGAGTGTGCGTACTTAATGGGACAAAGATCTCTGGTCTCTATTTTTGGTTGTATCTGCAGGCGAAAAGGGGCGCAACGAAAGTGTTTCTCTTGATCAACCGAGCAGCTGGATGCCGTCGATCTCGACGAACGGTTGCCGTTTTTTAAGCGCCTTGCCGCTGTTGCCGGGCGCTTTTTTTCGGTTTCCATTCTTTTTCTTTTTTCGGCCAATTTGAAAGTCGCTCGTGAGTCAGAGAGAAGTAGTGGTAGTTGCCAAGTGCGGCGACAACCAGTTTTCCGTCTCCAATCTCCTCCTGCGTCCCATTTGTCGAGCTATCTCTCCGCACGAATGATTTATGTATTTATTCGGATTTTCATGAGGCGAAGAAGGGGGTGTGCCATTCATCATTTCTGCCGCCCAGGATGGAGGATCGCCTAGCCCACATCTAGCAGACATGTGATGGGGAAATATTGCTTGGTTGGCATAGAAATTCCGCGAATGCAATCGATCTACTTGCTGAATACCTCTAGATACATATGTCAACTTTCTGGGAATTATGAGTTGGTCAAAGGCTTTGCTTTTGGCACGTCACGTAGCACGGGAGACAGACAGAAAATAAATCATGACAAATTACACAAGACACAATAAATAAAACTAGGGTGTGCTAAAAGCAGAATGATGGAAACTAGAGCGACTACAACTTATGCTACGCAGAGGGTAAAATTCGGGAATTCAGTAAGTTTAGCAATGTTCATTCCAGCTCCTGCTGCACCTAAACATTGAGCACGGAATGCTTCTTGTTGCCGCCGGAGGGCAGTTGCACGGCGATCACCGCCAGGCGTCCATCTCGCAGCGGCGCCAGAATGTGGGTGTTGCCCGGAGTGACCACCACCGTCTGGATGGGCACGTGCAGCGGAATGTCGAAGACGGGCTTCAAGCTGGAATGAAAGTTATACGGTCAATGCGGGCAAATAGGTGCTTAAAGTTTCAATGATGACCTCATAATAGCCACATAACCAGAAAATGTGCCATTCTTACCCGTGTAGTCTGCTCATGGTGATGTCGCCGGCATCATCGGCCACCACCAGGTAGTCGGAGGCACTGGCCAACCCCGTCACCCTGCCGGAAACATATTTGGAGCCCAGACTGCAGCCATTGATGCTGTATACGTGCACCGAGTGCGAGGTGTCATCCAGAGCACTAAAGGCAATGTGACCTGCGTATAAGGACACAGAACAGAAATCATAATCGTGGTTTAATCATCTGCATCATTCTGTGATCATATCAGCTCGGGTGCCAGAATGTGGGGCAGGGCGTAGTGGCGTCAATCTACGCAGTGGAAATGCCATTATGCTGTTAGACGAGGTCCGGCCCACTCCGGTCTGCTGATAACCTGACATCGCATAAAGACATTATCACATGGCGACATACTACATCCAAGTCCGAGCAATGCGTAGTTGCTCTTATCTATACAAGTATCCGTGTTATGTGGCGGCTCTTGTATCTCTGTCTATGTATCTGTATCTGTATCTGTATGCCAATGCCACCCAGCGAAACTCGTTCAGAAGGAAGAGCCACTAAATACCCTAGATTGGATCTGAATGAACTTCCTAAAGTGACCCGGCCACGCGCACAGAAATAACTAGTATAAACCGTGTCTGGTTGGTTTAGGCCAATCTTGTAGTTCATTCAAAAAAATTCAGAAAACTCTCACAGAGATATCTGTACAGAAGTATATACGTATATCTTGATCTTTATTGGGGCCTTTGGACGAAATTTACTACAACTATTTCATAAATTTACTGCTGCGTCTTGGAAATTTAAAAATGAATGAATCGCCGGGGCACATGGGTGGCCTGAGGGGGCCTGGTGGAGCACATGGGGGGGATTGGACTGGTTGGTCGTGTGACTCTGTGACGCGCGATTCGTTCGCGGGGCTCGTTCGCCCCTCCGATTTGATTCCATTAACGACGTTGGGTTAATGCCAGAGAACCGAGTGTCGTACGGATCTGGCATATGGATGCGTATGTATGGGTGGGTTCGCTGCGGACTGATAGGCAATTAATGGATGGGATCGGGTCTTCGTTAGCGGCTATGTAATTGATTGGGGCCCGACAAGAACGCAATTAAGTGCCCATCATTGCCCTGGAAAATGAACCGAGACTGACGTTTTTCGATTCGATTTCCATATTTCTGAACCGATCACAGCCGGATGTTGCGAATTTATAATCAGAATTGTGTATTAATTCTCTCGATAAGCGGACGGCTGCAAGTGGCTACATTATATGCATTATAGCCGGCTATATACTCGGCTTACTGGGGGCCGAGAGGAGGAAAGGAGAAGGAAAGAGAAGGGGCCTGGGTAAGGCAGTGGTGTATCAATTTCCAAGAGTCCAAGCTGATTGCCAGAAAATCGAGTGGCTTAGCGAATCTATATGGCTGCATATTTAAAGAACTCGATATGCAAGCTGGCGCCATCGATTGACGTATTTCGTTCTCAGAATGCAAAGCAAACGGAATTCGAGGCTTTCGAGTATTGATTCGCATTATCACAAGACCAATATTGTATAACAAACAAAAATGAAAGTTAAGTGCAGGCAGCCAGTTTATATTAATTTTCAGAGCGTTGAATTGCGAGTAATGGCATTACACGTTTACTTTGATATTTAAAAACGTGTTTTGCTCGTTTTTAAACACGCGTTCTAATGTAATCCCATATTATATTAACCCAAAAAGCAGGGATTTAACTTTTAGGAATTAATATACAAATAAGAAAACGTACTAAAATTTAACGGAAATATTTAGCCTTTTGATTCGAATGACCCTGTACAAACTCGTGCTAAGCGAAATGTGATTTGTGAAATCGTTTCCGAAAATCATCGCCATTATAGAGCAATAATCATAAGTATGTTAATTACGGCCAATGAATCATTGTCGTAATATAGTCGAAAGTATACTGATTTATGATATTTCTTTATCGGGCACGTACATATAGTGATAGTGATAGTTTTTTGTGCAAAATCAAAAAACCCAGATTTTTATTATTTTTATTTCATGGCTATAACACCTTGACAGTGTTGCCACGAGGGAAGATGGGGAATTCCGAGGCATACATTTTCAGCTTGCCAACAAGAGGGACAAAATCTTAACCTTGCTGGGGTCTGTATACTTTACGATCTCGCTGGGTTAGACACGCTTTTATTTGGATTAAGCCCTGTCGCCTCAAATGCAACGCGCGATAAGATAGAGCGAGCAGTGCATGGGACAAAGTCGGACGATTTCCAACATCATTATGATATGGCCAGTCGGAGGAGGGAGCAGCGAGGCGAGGCACATGGCCACACAATCACGTGATTCTCGTCGCCGCACTTATGTGGCAATTGGCGATAGGAGGGCTGATTAAATTGTTTGATTGCCCTCTTCAAACATAATGGGAATGCTACGCAGTAGCACGTGAGGTATCCACCGCCTCATCGGAAGATTACGGACACCACGAGTGGACAGGAAAGAGGGCTGATTGACTGAGATTGTGGGTTCCAGGTGGTCAAATGTGGGCACAGAAAGCCAGCCATCTTATGAGTCAACCGACCAAGCTCCAATTCACTGCGTTTATCAATTAGAAGTTAGCCCATGTCAATTCTCTTATCAGTATTTCTTTACTGAGTCAATAGAGTTTTGTTCAGAGGAATCGAATAGTTATAATTGATTAAAATATTTCGCAGAAAGAGCTCTGCTGTATGAAGTTAGGAATTTATTTAGTAAATCACCATTGGCGGTTGTTCTATATAAATACATATTGGAAGGAATTAAACTTTGGGCTGAGGCAAGAACTGGTAGTATCTCAAGTATCAATTCAGTTGATAAAGCTGAAGAGCGGCATGAATTGGTGAAGTAATTTTTTGTGAACGCCCAATTGTTACTACATAGTCCAATAAATAAATGGAACTACAATACATAAATTGTGGTGCATACTTTTGGGCCAAATCAATAAATCAACGACTCTCAAACTGTAGGATTTGTTTTATGTTGCACGATAATAAAGACTACTTATTCTATATTCTATTCCAGAAGGAAAAATTATCAACTTACCATGATAGGAAAGGGTTACGAAAGAGATTTGTACACAGGACTCAGTGCATCCTATGGGCTTAAGTGTTCTAACAAATTGACCTTCCTGAAGCGTATAAACGTTAACTGTTCCATCCTGAAAAGCAAAAAAAATAGGTAGTAGTTTCATAAGGATTCCTAGAGTTGGCTATTAGTCCTTACCAGGGATCCAGAGACCACCAGATCCAGTTCCGTGTAGATGGCTACACTGGAAATGGCATCGTCGTGACCATAGAGCACCGTCAAGGGCTTGGGTGAATAGCTATTCTGGGTATTCAGCTGGGTGATGGCCTGTAGGTGCGACTGACCCGTCAGCGCATGAACTGGAATGTTGTTAGTGGATCCGCCACCCTGCTGATTTGTTTGGATGCTCCACACAATACTGGTGCAATCGCGGGAACCGGTAACCAAGTACGAGCCACAATTGTCCAGTGCTATGCAGGTGATGATGTCCAGGTGGCGGGTCACCGAAGCCACCGCCTTGCCCTTGTTCAGATTATACACCCTTAAGGAGTTATCCCAGATTCCACCGGCATAGAGCAGCTTGCCATCCGTGCTCACTGCAAAGAGCTGTGAATGCGGTTGCTGTGACGAGTGGAAGGGTCCAAAGATCCGCTTGCGGTTCCTTCAAAAAAAGGTACATTAATATGACTGAATTGCAAAATATTAAACATTCGCCTACTTTAGATTAGCCGTTGTGGCATCGATTTCCAGCAGGAATCCCTGATCCTTATCAAAGGATAGCCAGGAATTACAGCCCAGTATGGTGGACTTGGAAATGCTGACTAGAACATCGGGACTCAGCTGCAGGAAGGATCTCGGAGGACTTCGCGGTGGACTTAGGTACACAATGGGGTCCTTGGGCGTTGACAGCTCGCAGTAGTACTGCACCACCTTGTCCAGAAACTGTGTGAGATCCGGCCTTCGGAGCTCAGCACGTAAGAGCTTGATAGCTGTCTCATCCTGGGTAAGGCGTCGTGGATGTGGCTCCCGCAGCAGCTGAGATGGCACTTGGCCAAAGTTATTAATCATTCCTAAGAAGATGAATAGGTATGAATAAATGTATTATAAAAGTCTTCATTGCATCCACCTTCAACCGCCTCCCGTTCTACAGGGTTGGTGATTTTGTCCAAATCCACAGCGCCTTCATAGGAGCAGTAGTAGAAAACGTTAAGAGCCTCCGCTGCCTTGGGTCCCTTCTGCTTGTACCCAAAGATCAGGTCAATCCAGTGGTGCAGGTGCTGGCTAACATACTCCGATTCCAAAGCCCGTCGGTGTATAGCGATGAACTCCTCCGGTGTGGTGGCCCAAGCTGGCAGTATGACATCGTCCACCTTTTCTTTGGTTATTTGTAAGTGGCCCAAGTCAAATCTGCACATAGAATACAATTAGGCCTACTGAGTTAAAGGTATAACCGTATGCATTACTTATTCATGTTCTTGAGGAACTCAGGGAAGTAAAAGAACTCGGGGATCAGCTCCTTCACGTCATTCGGATTGTCCATTAGCAGCTTCCACGTCTGAGGTATCGAGTGGAACTGCCGATCGGCCACATCGAAACGACCGCTCTGCAGTTCAATGTGCAGCGAGGTAAACGGTTCCACGCGAAGCAAATAGTGGAGCACGCCGGCCGAGTTGGAGTAGTGGGTTCCATAGTGGAACTTGGGTATGGCACCAGACGGATCCTCGAATGAGTCATATTTACCGCGTACTTCGGCCTCGTTTTTCGGGTTTATCTGTGGGCGCAAGGAGTTTATCGTGTAAGTGATCATCTCATTTCAAGGTCAGTAATACTTACGCATCCAATGGGTTTGGAAAGGTCACGGAATGATTTTGGATCGGTTAGATCCAGCACGTCACTGGTGTAATCAGCAAGGATCCAGGGGAAGACGGGGTATTGGCTTAGATCATTGTAGGATCGGCCTGGTAGTGTGAAATACGTTAGTTTGATAAATTAAAAGTAATAATTAGGTGTTATTTGCTTACCTGCGATAGTGTTCAGGTACATCAAGTATTCAAAGTTGGAAATCTCGCGGTTGATCCATCTTTGGGTGAGTCCTGAGGCCCTCAGCAGCTCAGCCGGCGATCTTCCCGAGCCGTAGAGGATGTTTGGAAGCGGTAGACCCACGATTTTCGTGAAAACTTTATTTCGAGTCTTAAATGAAACAACCAAATTTGTAATCTATACCAAATTTGTTTTACGAAAAAACTCACCTTTGTTGTAAAGTTGAGGAAGTAGCTGGTCTGATCCACCAGGAAGATTTCCAGAGCACTCCTGCGCAAATTGTACTTTCGCAGATGAACCTCACGTATCTTGTTGGTGGAGAACCTGAAGTCGTATTTGGAACCATCCTCCGTTGGCGGACTCAAGTCCACAAAGGTGAACACACTCTGGTTAACCTCTATGCGTCCCTTCACCTTGGTCATCAGGGTGATCAGCTCACAGTCCTGTGACATGACTAGCTTCTCCAGCGCCACATCCTGTTGCGCTTGCGTGTCGATCAGTTGACGCAGTTCCTCCTCCAGTTGGGAACTTTCGTCGTCGGCCAGGAAATCGCGCACCACGGCATTCTTGATGGTGGAGTCAAATTCCGAGATTTCCCTGAGATCAAGATTATTGAAAATAAGATTAGGAAATCTACTTGGGACTTATTGGTCTTACTTGGTGTCGTAGGCACTGGTCGCATTGTCGCGCAGATTGGCGGCATTTTCATGTTTGTTTGGATATAATTGGGGCTCCAATTTTAGACGCATCCGCGCCACGTTCTCATGGGGCGATAGCTTCCAGAACTCCTCATCCACTTCCCTAAAAAGAACACACAATTTTAGGTGAAATCCTTAAACTATAAAGTATAAAGATACCCATAAATATTAGTTCTAAAATACTAATATAATTATAATAAGCCTCTATAGGATATGGCCTTATTTTGTTATGCGTAATCCAGGATGTGTTTTTGAACAAAAAATGCAATCATTTGTTTTCAGAATTTCTTTAATTTTGGGTTTTTGCGATGAAAGTTATTTAATAGCTCGACAATGATTAATCGAATATGTACAGATGAAAGTCCTTTGTCGAATTGCGGTCAATCCTTCCTTTACGACTCCTACTCCTCCTCCTTTTCCTTAGGCGACGATGGGAGCGGCCAGGGTCTTGGCGAAGACTGGAGCGGGGGCAGCAGCCACCACTGGAGCCACAGGAGCAGCCACGGTCTTGGCCAGAACTGGAGCCACTGGGGCCAGAGCAACGGGCACATCCTTCTGCACCACCGCGTTGAATCCGTTGATGGAGTCGGCGTAGTAGCTGACAATGCGACGGGAACCATCGGGCTCGATCAGAGAGTAGGATCCGCGAACGACATCACCATCACGAGTCTCCTCCTGAGTCTTGGAGTCACCAGTCAGCGTATCCTGGACATCGTAGGCGAACTTGTACTGCGGGTGGGCATCCACGATCTCGGTGGCGATGGGAGCAGCAACTGGAGCAGCCACGGGCGCGGCAACTGGAGCAGCCAGAGGAGCAGCAACTGGAGCAAGTGGGGCAGCAAGAGGAGCGGCGACTGGGGCAGCCAGGCGAGCAGCAACTGGGGCAACTGGAGCAGCGATGGGAGCGGCGAAGGGAGCGGCGAATGGAGCGGCAGCGTAGGTCTTGGACACCAGAGGAGCAGGTCCCGCCAACAGAGGGGCGTTGTATCCCAAAGGAGCCGCGTAGCCCAGAGGGGCGGAGTACGCCGCAGGTGCGAAGTAGGGAGCAGCTCCCAGAGGGGCGGAGTAGGCCAGACGAGCACCCAGAGGAGCACCCAGAGGGGCGGCGGCCAGAGGAGCGCCAACCAGACCAGCCTGAGCCGAGAGGGCCATCGAGGAGAGGACTGCAACAACCTGTGAGGAAGATCCATGGAGTCCAGGTTAGTCTCCTGGCCTGAAGGTGTCACCGAAGCCATCACCATCACTTACCGTCAGAGGATTCATTGTAAGGCTTGGGTGGGGTTTAGTGCGATTGTCACCGTCGGTTATCGAAAATGAACTGACATACCTTTGACAAAAAAACCACGACTTTTATACCCAGATGCGTTCGCGAAATTTGCATGCGGTGCTCCGTGGAGGGAACTGCGTACCAATTGCGTATGGTAGCCCATTGTCCAAGCTCCTTGCCCCCCGCATCATCACCACCATCGCTTTTTGGGGTCTCTTCCTACCCAGCATTTGGCTACGTCTGCGTCTCGCATTTTGATCCAAATTCGCAGCACGTACTCCAATTTTCTGTCGTCTTGCGGTGGCTACACCAAGTTTTCATTTTTATTTGCCACTGTTTTTGCCTTGTGCGGATCGAAAGTGAATGCGATTTGATTATATTTCGGAGCAGTAGTTTTCGGTAATTGCCATGCAGGTTCCATCCAATGGCAGTGCTTTTAATTTTCCTTCACACTCAAAGCGCGAAACTTACAATTAAAATAGCATAATGATGGCGGGTTGACAAGGGTTCAAACTCAGAAATATAATATTAATATATCTTTGACAGAAAAAGGTATCTTAAGATTGTAATGATCCTGAATTTGATGTTTTACTTGGGTTGGTTGTGTCCAATAAATTGGAAAGTTTCTTACACACTTTATTGGGTATCAATTACTTATGCTAATGAGCTACATCTTGTACATAATAAGGTTTTTACCAGGGGTTCGGTTTCACTCAACGAGGTGAAACTGGGTCAATGTGGCCCAGTACTATCGATTAGACTGCTATGTAATTCCCATATATTTATATTGAGAGAAGTCTTAAAAAAGTTCAACATTTGGTATATAAAATATTTTGTTACATTGAAATAAATACGGTTTAAGTTTACCTCCTATAGATTTTTAGATAACACTCCTTGTGATATCTTAATTTTTATGTGTTTTCCCAACAAATATTTAACAAGAAGCACCAGTCTTTTGGAATTTGCCTAACTCATTGGTTGATCAAAGATTCCCCATCGATTTCGTGCTGTAACTGGTGGCTGGTTTTGAGTTCGTGACTCTTTTCCAAAATGCAACCAACGACCTTGCGACTCGTTGGCTGCGGATTCACCTCGGAGAGTCGCTGAGAGACCCAAAAGTTGGCACCAGATGGCGGGATTACTCGTCGGGTTGGGGGAGCTGACTAACGGTTGTCGGCGTAGATTGTCGCCACCGGAAACCAGCATGGATATACAGTCGTCCAATTTGGCCAAAGCGAATGGAATGCTCCACTGCCATTTAAGCAGTTCCTTGCCCAATCGCTTGACTCAGCTCTGAGATGCGAATTAATTAAAAGTGGATGAAATACTAGCCGCTGCCACTTAGCTGCCAATTGTGAGCAAGGTCGCCGCGGTTAGAGCTTCCAAATGCCGGCTAAATGCCTTTTGGCCCGATCGAGGCAATTATGGTGGCTAAGTGACCGGCTCAGCAATGTGGGCGCTGGTTCAGCTGGCCAGGTGGAAATCGGATCGGCGAGGGGCTTATGCGTGTGCGAGTGCGTAATTGCGCCTGTGATCCGCCCATTCCCTCCACCAAGTCGCCGAAACTTGCCATTTTCGTTTTCTAATTAAACGAGTGGCAGCAAACGATTGATCTTGTTTTGATACCCTGCAAGTGGGCACTTTGGACTTGGATGTTACTTTGCAGATTATCGTTAGTCACGTAAGCATCGCGGGTGAGTAATAATCGGCATAACTAAACAGAAGGCATTCAATTTACTTATTCAATTATGTTTACACATCCAATTGTAATGTAAATAAAATTAAAGAAGATACTATTAAAAAATAAAACATACCAGCTTAAGAAATATTATACATAATTTAAGAATAAATTATGTCAACAACAAAATCTTAATCAAGAAACTATGTTAGTTCGTATAACCCTATGATATAAAGGGATTTTCTTGAAAGGGTACCAAAAATAACCAGTAAACACTGCCACAATATGAGGCACTTATTACATCAGACAAATTTCGGCTGGAGAACCTGAGAATGTGCCGAAAAACGGCGAAAAAATGAAACCAGATCGGCCAACGAGTCAGCGGAAAACGAGTCTGGTGTTGGTGGTAGCTGGATAGCTGGGTATCTTGGAGCAGCGCTCTTGAACGGACCCAAATGGACTTTGGTGAGTGGTGTGCCTCGCCAGCGGCAGCAGCTATTCCATTGAGAAAAGCCAGCACCAATGATGAAATCCGCACCAGAAACACGAAATCCGCCATCAGCTATGAGGTCTGGGGTGCAAGATCGAGATCGAGATCGAGATCGGGCAGCCACCAAATGAGACGCAATTGTCACTCTGCCCATTAGATTGTCCAGTTTTTTTTCCGCTGGCAGCTGCCGCCAGTTTCGAATATAAAACTGAAGACCAGGCGGAAAATGCATCTCACATTTGAGCTGAGTTCTCGCAGTGCAGACACATCCAAACCAGAGCTCCCTCATTCACACATCCTTCGCCATGATTGCCCAGGTGAGTTGGCCAAAGGATTGCCGCCTTTAGTTGGCTCTACTGATCATGGAATTCCTCGCCAGACTCTGTTCGTTTTGGCACTGATCCTGTCCGCTGTGGTGGCCATTCCCATTGATCCCTATGGACTGTCGGCTCCTGGACTCACCTATGCGGCTCCTAAGCTGCTAGCTGCACCAGCCATTTCCTATGCCGCTCCCAAGCTCCTGGCTGCTCCTGCCATCTCGTATGCCGCTCCTGCCATCTCTTATGCTCCTAAGGTCCTGGCCGCCCCCGTTGCCGTGGCCAAAGTGGCTGTTGCCGAGCCCTACGATCCCAATCCGCAGTACAGCTTCTCGTACGGAGTAACCGATCATCACACCGGCGACTCCAAGCAGCAGGAGGAGACCCTGGTCAACGGAGTCGTTCACGGCAGCTACTCCCTGGCCGAACCCGATGGCACCATTCGCAAGGTCACCTACACCGCCGACAAGATCAACGGATTCAATGCCGTCGTGGAGAAGAAGGGCGTGGCCGCGGTGGCCATTGCCAAGCCAGCTCTGGCCGTCGCCGCCGTTCCCGCCATCACCAAGATTGGATACGCCTCGGCGCCTGGTCTGAGTCTGGGTGGATACCATTAGGCGATGAGCCAGCGGACCGAGCGATGACAAACTCCATGGCCTAGTTGTAGGACCGTTGTTAAATAGTTCTAATGCATTTACCCACTTTTCTGTCAGTCAAAACCCGAAACACAAGGACGTGCGTGCTGTTGCCACCCCGCTGTTGACCCACATTCCCAATTTCCGATCGAAGGATCGCCAACATAGACTACGTTTACGGATACCGTTCTGGGGATCTGGGGAACGGCTATTCGCCACTTAGTGAATTAGTAACTGCATCTACTGAATAAAAGTTTCGGTACAAAAAAAGATTGAATGTTGTTCTTAGATTTCGATGCAAAAGATTGATTTTAGCTCACCTTATTTGGTATAATCATAGAATTCCAGAAACCTTTTTATACCCCTTATACATCAGAAAAATTACGAAAAAAATTAAAAAATGTCCCAAGGCTGAAGTTCTAAACTCCAAATATTTCTGGTGTAATTCTCGAAATATCTGCATTCAAATTTAACACCTTTTTTTTTTAATTTTTTGTATTTTTTTTGATGTTATGATGACGAGAAATGCAACAAACTTAAAAAATGTCCCAAGGCTGAATTTCTGAACTCCATAACTCAACTTATCTTAATCGGATTTTGAAGTGGAATACCTCTAAATGTTTCTGACGCAATTCTCTAAATATCTGCATTCAACTTTAGAAATTTTTTTTTTTTTTAATTTTTTGTAATTTTTTTGTAATTTTTTTGATGTTTGATGATGAGAAATTCAACAAACTTAAAAAATGCCCAAGGCTGAATTTCTAAACCCCATAACTCAACTTATCTTAATCGGATTTTGAAGTGGAATACCTCTAAATGTTTCTGACGCAATTCTCTAAATATCTGCATTCAAATTTAAAATTTTTTTTTTTTTTTAATTTTTTGTAATTTTTTTGATGTTATGATGATGAGAAATGCAACAAACTTAAAAAATGTCCCAAGGCGGAATTTCTGAACTCCATAACTCAACTTATCCTTATCGGATTTTGAAGTGGAATACCTCTAAATGTTTCTGACGCAATTCTCTAAATATCTGCATTCAAATTTAAAAAGTTTTTTTTTTTTTAATTTTTTGTATTTTTTTTGATGTTATGATGATGAGAAATGCAACAAACTTAAAAAATGTCCCAAGGCTGAATTTCTAAGCTCCATAACTCAACTTATCTTAATCGGATTTTGAAGTGGAATACCTCTAAATGTTTCTGACGCAATTCTCTAAATATCTGCATTCAAATTTAGAAATTTATTTTTTTTTTAATTTTTTGTAATTTTTTTGATGTTATGATGATGAGAAATTCAACAAACTTAAAAAATGCCCAAGGCTGAATTTCTAAACTCCATAACTCAACTTATCTTAATCGGATTTTGAAGTGGAATACCTCTAAATGTTGCCACGCCCACAAACCGCCCAAAACTGTCACTCCCACACTTTTAAAAAATTTTTAATTTTTTGTATATTTTTCCCCAATTGCTACCGTGTATCAAATTTTGAAATTTCTCGTTTGCACTTCCACTAGCTGAGTAACGATTATCAGATAGTCGGGGAACTCGACTATAGCATTCTATCTTGTTTAACTTACATTTATATATCAAAAGATGAATGCTAGGAATGCTCTAGATTCCCCTGCGTAGATGCACATTGGGGTAGGTCCCGAGTTTCGCGTTAAGGCCCCCGATTTAAATTCTGATCACGTAGTGCCAACTATATTTACGGTTATCACAATTCATATTGGAGGCGCTTTGGTGGAGGGGAGAATTGTGCAAGCTGGGCTATTTGCTGGCACGTCCATTGGGGAAACCTTTTGCAGGTGGACCAGGCACAAAAACGGGCCATTACGTCAGCAAATGGAATCGCTTTTGGCAGCGGTTGCCACACGGCGCATGCTATCGCGGAAATGTGGAGGCCCTTTATAACCCCGATCCAATGGCAACCCAAGACAGTTCCGACAGCATTGTCAAGCACAAAGCACCATTGAATACTATCCACTATCCACCAGCAAATCTAGTCATGGCCCTGATCAAGGTGAGTTAGGGGAGTCCTGGTAAAGGCCATCACTTGGATCGAAGGATCTTCACAAGTGTGTTTCTTGTTCATATACCAACCGATGCACCCTAGATCACCCTTATCTGCTGCGCCCTGATCGCCGCTATCGAGTGCGCCCTGCTCCCAGCCGCTGTTCCAGTGGGAGTGCCTCTCAACACGGAGGTGGATCCGCATCCGCAGTACGCCTTCGCCTACAATGTACAGGATGCCCTCACCGGCGACAGCAAGAGCCAGCAGGAGGTGCGGGATGGAGATGTGGTCAAGGGCTCCTACTCGGTGGTGGATGCCGATGGTTCCCTGCGCACCGTCTTCTACACCGCCGATCCCATCAACGGTTTCAATGCGGTGGTGCAGCGAGGACCCGTTCCGGTGGCTGCTCGCCCTTTGGTGGCTCCGGTGGCTGCTCCACTCTTGGGCTAACTGCCCAATCTTCTACAGCTTTGAACACTGCTTGTAACCTAGCTTTTACATAACTTATTGTCTGCTCCTTAGTCCGTTGTAAAGTCAGTAATGGTTAAATAATAAATTCAATAAGCCAAAGATATGGACGTCATCTTTGATTCATAGTCACGGAAAAACTGTAAGTATCTGCTTCTCAAGCCGTTGGATAAGTAAAATTAATCAAAAGTACACTAAATTCCGAAACGAGTTTACATTTACGCCTATACACTTTATTAATTAGTCAGTCGATCAGACAAGCTCAAGGCCCAAAAAGTATACTTGCTTAGTTAATGATAATGAACTAAATTAAAAAAATACTGCAAATAACAAGATATTGAGTGGACATTTTTTCAAGATCAAAATTTGCGTGTCATTAAGATGCAAATAGTGTCATTTTGAACTTGAATCTGCGCAGTGTGTTACCTTTTAAATTACATCATAATGGTGGGGGGTCAAGAAATGGAAATGGTTATGTGTTTAATGGAACTAATTACTTGGTGAACATTTTCGTGACTCCATGCCATGATGGCATGTAAAAATTGTTTTGTAATTTTAAATGTAACAAAATGTAACCAGGAAAAGCCCACTTTCCCGAAGAAATCTGACCCATACCGCAGGCCATTTTCCACTTACATAAGACAGCAATCTTAGATGGATATCTCCCATGCAGCTGTCCCACGCCCAAAGAACTCTCCACTCCAAATGAATACATTCACTCGCTGGCCCAACACGCACTCAAATTATTCAATAGCTTAATTGAAAGTAAAAATCGGCACGAGATGCAATTTTTGGATTACGCAAACCCCAACCCGAGCATGTCCATAGATGTTGCTGCCGGCGCCGACCGCAACTGCAGCAGTTACTGCAACTGCAGCAGCAACTGCAGCAGCGAGAGCAACGCCTAACAAGCGGCGGTACGCGTTGAAAATTAGTGATAATGGCCAAAATTGTCCCAATGGCAACAGCGCGGCGAAACAGAACAAAATCAGTACACTCGGAAAAATAGTGCATGACATTCGAAAAACTAAATGAGCGAATTGAATGTTCTTCAGTGTTTATCCATTAGTTAGAACAGTATATCTAAGATTCAATTTCTTCAGTGTTTATCCATTAGTTAGAACAGTATATATAAGATTCAATATGTTATCTGTATACATAACTTGAAATCTTTTGAAACATATTTGTTCCTCCTATCATATGCAATATTCAACACATTTAATAGAAATTTGAAAATCACCTCGCTTTATTGTCATTTTCAGTTGACCATTGCATTTTGAAATACGCATTAGAACTTTTTCGCTTTTCCTCAGTGTACCAAATGCGTCTGGCGTAGATTTTTCGGGTGGGCGCGGCTTAGAGCAGCCAGCCAGTTTCGAAGGCTGTGCCCCAAACACACCTTTCAACAATCGACTGCTGGGTGCGTGTGCAGCTTCGCCCCAATCTGGTGGCCATAAAGTCGAGACATGGGGACATGGAGACATAGGAGGCACTGGTGCTCATGCGGCCACCACACACCTGATCCGTCCGGCCACCCGGCTTAGGCCCAAATAATTCGCTTTCGAATTGAACTTTTTTGTCACGACAACAACGACGGCGATTCAGCCGGCGTGGGACCAGTTTGCTTTGGTCCGGCACAGTCCTCCCAGACTCCCAGACATGCGTGAACCGCAGAGCACCCTCCTCCAGCTGCTCCTCCAGCTCGGCCGGCCGTTCCTCCACCTCCTCCGTACAGCCCCTTCTGATTGCCATGGGCAGCGAAAAATGAATTATTTTATATTTGTCGCGATCGATGCGAGTATTTCGCATGGGCACAGGCCGCCACAGACTCCACACGCATGCGCACTTTTTAGTTGTTTATTATTTTGTGTCTTGCTGCGCTTTTTGCATAAATATCTGGTGGCAGGCGGCGGCGGAGGCTGTGGCGGATTTTTTGGGCCCGCGTCTATGGGAGGCCTATAAAAAGCAATTGTCGTGCCGCCACAGAACCGCAGATCGAGTTCATTTGTCAGTCGAGCAGCAGTAGACCTCCAGTTCTCCACTACTCCATCGCATAACTCCAAGCAATCCGTCCAGAATGGCACAGAAACTGATCCTCGTCCTGAGCGCCCTGATGGCGGTGTCCTCCGCCGTGGTGGTTCCTGGTCCCGGCCTGGCACTGCCCGGCTATCCATCGTACCCGGCGCTGGCCAAGGTGGCTGCTCCTCTGGTGGCCAAGGTGGCGGGTCCGGAGCCCTACGATCCCAATCCCCAGTACACCTTCAGCTACGATGTTCATGTGAGTCAGCTTCATCAGAAGTATAGCCCATTAGACACCTCATAAAAAGCAATGGCAATTCCGAAATCTGCATCTGAATTTTATTGCTTATTGAGCAACCGGTATGCAAATTTTGATTTTGCGAGACATTTTTATGAAGTGTTTATGGAAGCTTAGAACTATTAAATCGCAACACATTGGTTGAGCCAGTTGGAATTTGCAACACTAAAGTTGCAGGTTGCAACAGGCATTTGCCTTCTTGGTTAATCCTGATCTTTCATAAAACATTCATAGTTACGCAATGAACTTACAATGTTCTATGTACAGTCGGGAATTCCTGGTAATCCTTAGAGATTTAATTGAGTGCCTTGGAAGGACCTATCACCACCCTTTGCTAACCCAACATTTTTTTTCTGCCTGCCAGGATGGCTCCACTGGGGACGTGAAGAGCCAGCAGGAGACCCGCAGCGGAGATGTGGTGCAGGGCGCCTATTCCCTGATTGAGGCCGATGGAACCCGCCGCATTGTGGAGTACACCGCCGATCCCGTGCACGGATTCAACGCAGTGGTGCGCCGCGAGGGAGCCGTGGTGAAGGCGGTGGCTCCGGTGGCCAAGGTTCTGGCCCCGGCTCCGCTGCTCCATGCCGCTCCTCTGGTGGCCAAGGTGCCCGCCTATGGCCCGGCTCTGGCGCCCGCTTACCCAGCTCTGGCCCACGGATACGGACCCGCTTTGGCCCCCGCCTACGGACCTGCTCTGCCCAAGCTGGCCCTGCCCGCTCTGCCCGCCCTCTCGCCCCTGGGCTACCACTAAGTCAGATGGATGGATATGATCCCCTCGAATATTGCCGACCTCTTGCGCAACCGTATAATGGACACATCGCGACCAACTTCTCCTGCCACGTGGCCTCCAGTTAATAGGAGCTCATGGGCTGATCATAGTCGATAGTAGTTGTAGTATTAGTGGAAATGAAAGCGATTTATCGAAATATGTACATACGAATTCACGGACAGCGGATTCCGATCGCCCAGCTCTTGGGTTCCGGATCCGGTGTCCCCTCATCTACACTCACACATTCTCGAGACCTTTCATTTATGTTTCTTGTCTTCTTAATCTTAAGGCTGTTTGACCGCGATAAAACTCTAAAATCCCCAACTCACAATCCCCGTTTCAATTCTTATTTAATCCGAGCCTGTGCACTCGAGTAGAACTCGCAGAATGAGAAACGAGATTGCAATAAACGAACCGACGCTATGCAAATGGAAGTTTAATGGAGTTTTCTTCTACGAGGTGGAAAACTGGGACGAAGATACAAGATTCACTCTTATTCTAGAGCTTCAAAATTAAAACTGAGTTCTGTTAAAAGCAATTGCTCGAATATTATATAGAAATATACAAACACTATTGAAGAACGGTGGGATGAAAAGAAAACTAATATAATTTTTAGGAAAATACTCTTGGACATGTGTGATTTTCAAATAAATCGGTCATGTGGTAAAGAAAGGGTTTTCTTTCCCTATGAACTAAAGAGTTAATTTTTAAAAATATTATTTAGCTAATAGGCAAAAACTTGCTTGTAGAAGGCTTACGCTTAATAAAAAGTCATAGCAACAGCCATTAAATACGATATTAATTACCAAGATTGCGTTTAATTCCAAATCATTGAACCAAAGTGCCTTTATTAGAACCAAAGTGCCATTATTAGAACCAAAGTGCCATTATTCAGTGGCGGTTTAGACTTTGACTCTGGCAACACATGAATTCCATGTTAATTTTGGGACATGTAATGGATTTGTGTGTCGTTCGTCGTCCGTGAGTGGTTCGACCTTAGAACAGAACAAGCCCCACCTGCGTGGGTCACCCACCGGGCTACCGATGCAGTGCAGTTGGTGGTGCCACTTGGCCGTCAATGGAGCGCAGGCTAATCGCTCAAGGTTCGGGCCACGCACCACAGAAAACTGCGTAATTCGAGCGTCAATGCAAAGTGGTCTAAATGAAATTTATGGGCTCAGTTGGAGAACAGTACGCCGCCATCCGATCCGATTGCCAATCGATCCGATCGAGTAATTGGCAACTGGCCACCGGGCACAATGGTGAACTGGAACTGGAACTGGAATTGGAAATGACCGCGCCTCGATCGTTGGATTTTGACCGATACGGGTAATTCGATACGTCCGAGAACTGACCTCCATGGGACTGGTGTGATTGGAGTGAACCCCACCTCGTCTGCACATCTGAATGGGCGCCTTCAATTATGCGCATATTTGTTGTTTATGTAAAAATCTATGGATCGCATAATGAGTTTTCGTTACATTTGCACTTGCATAATGCGACGGGCCTTTGTTGCAATCGACATTAAACGCTTTTGATGATTTAATAAAATTAAATTGAAATGTTAATCGCGACACGGCATGGGCGGGAAAGTGGAGGAGCCGATCCGAAAGACATGGGCGAAAGCGTAAGACAATGGGCGAGCTGCAGCTCCAAGCAGCCGGTGCCACAATGGGCCCAAAATGCTCGGGGGCTACCAAAATATAGGGAAAATGCTAGAAAGTATTGCCCAATAGTTTTCCTATTTAATTCATATTTCCCCAATACAATTACATTGGCTTACTACCTACTCCTCGGTTTAAGGCGTTCTTAAACAAGTCCTAAGGACAATTATAGTCAAAAAACTTCAAAGTACCTTATGTAAATAACACAAAAACAATGTGACACCCGAGCATATTGATTTTGAATAAAACTATAAATTGTTTAGACATATTTGCATCATAACAAAGTTGTAATTTATAAAGACTAGTCTAGACCCAGCCGATATGATAATCTTAACATCTGGTCACTAATCGGAGATCACTGAATAGCTTTTAATAGGATTTTCAGCCAAAAGTGCGACCACAAATACCCATCGGATTATCACCGATTTGTGGCATTGTGTTTGACGGATTTCACCCATTGTGTCAGTGGAACTACTAAACATATTGTGGTTACCACCAGCCTAGTGTGTTGATGATCACGATGACGCCGCTGCAGACTTTAATGATTGAGAGGGATTTGTTTGCATTTGGAAGTGAAATTAACACAGAGCGCGGCGGCTTCTGGCCATGTTGGAGTCTTCGAGTGGTTCGAGTGGTCTTTAGGACCACAAGAGTGTGCCTCCAGGTGATTAAGTGATCACGCACACATGTAATACGTGTATTTACTGTAACGGAGCTGGCACGCTCGATTACAATTGTCGCCTCAAATGCGAGGCGGGCAATTAAAATGCTGAATTTCGCGTCATTTCATAATGGAATCGGGCGGGCTCACTGACGTTTACAGAGAGAGAAAACTCTGCTGATAAAATTAAAGCGTATTTCCAAATTGAAGAGTTGTAATTTAAATTTGGCTTATACCAGCTTGTATTATTAGTCAGTATTAAGAGTCAGAATTGTTATAACATCTTAACATAAAGAGTGCAACTTCCTTGAAAATGTTCTGTGCTGATTCTCCATTTATAGTTCTAGTTATAGTCTAAGAATTACGTAATGAAACTAAATACTTTTTATCTCTCTGCAGCAATAAGTACACAAGAGAAGTACTCACCCGGTGTACCATGGTCCGCGTGGGCCGTACAAGAAACGCTTGGCGGTCTTCCACCGCTTCCGTATGTGGCTGTCGATGGTCTTGTGCTGCAGTGCAGCCGCTTGCAGTCGTTGCATCTCCTCCACCTGGCGCACCTTCCACGGCATGTAGATCTTCTGCTGGAAGAGGCGCCTGTTCTCCGCCTGGTTTGTGGCCCTCTGCTTGGAGGCCGCTTTGCAGGCCTCGTAGCACTCCGCCCAGAATCGGTTGATGGGCTCCCACAGATGCAACTCGATGTCGCGCTGGTAGCAGTCGTACAGAGGCTTCACCTGAAAGTGTGAGAAGTTCGGGATTAGTACACGGAAAAAAAAGCAAGTATATCATATTAGACTTAAGCCTTATATAGATACTGTCGTATTATTATGTTTCAAAACAATCTGATTATTATCTATTTTAAATATCATAGGGTAGATGTGCCTGAAACCAAATTGTTTCTGCATAGCAGTTTAAAAACTTTATCTTAACTTATCTATCTAAACTTATTAGGATTTTTAATGGATCACAACTGAAATTGTGAAATTTTCTTTCAGTCTTCAGAGTGTGAGTTGAAGATCAAGATAGACGATTATGGCAGCTTGGATTTGTTTTCGCTTTCATTCGATTCGGGGGCACTCTTCGTGCGTATTCCAGATCCAACTGTTGGCCAGGCGCTCTGGTGGAGATCAGTGAGCATGTCCAAGTCCACAAGTCACGTCCGGTCAGGTTCAAGTTCAATGTGCAGATAGCCGCGGGCACAGGAAGCACTCGATTGCAGTTGTGCAAACCAGTTAGACGCGCTCCTCGATGGCTGTTTATTTGGGGTTTATTTAACGCCGATCTTCTCCAGGTACCAGCCGTAACCAGGAGGCATCCGCATGGCGCCAGTGGAGGTGGCACGGTGGGGATTCTTTGCATAATCCGCCACCACCTCGAGTGCCGCCAGCGATCGTTCCAAGGCACTGGGCACACACGAATTAAATACAAATACAACACATATAAAATAAAATAAAATGAAAATAAAAGAGCAGGGCAAAATATTTCTGGTAAAATCTCCGCCAGGTGGGTGCATCGGCAGCGACGCCGCTTTGTCATTCGACTGGTTCCAGCTGCGCCTCTTCGAGCCACAAAACCAGACCACTTTCTTGGCGCTCAGCTCAGTTGCCGAAAGAAAGTCCGACGAGTCGTGACCGACCGGGAGCCGCGTGGAAAATCTCAGCCTCGATCTTCAAAACTCCAGCGCCAACTTGGATTTGGTTGGACTCGGATTCGGAGTCGAAAGTTGTGTTCATGTGCGCGTCGATTTTGGAATTTGATTTTCCAAACGCCACTACTGCGTAGAGTTTAGTTCGCGCTTTGTTTGCCGCTCAAAATGTGCAATTTGTTTTGGCTTTCGGCCTGTTTTGTAAGCGATTAAATAATATGTGAATTAATTATGCTGCCATCTCATGTGTGCTGTCTGTGATATTAGATAGAAAAAACTGCACTTCGAATTCAAATCAAGGATCTCATAAATGCGATTAGCCAGGAACTTCAAAGTTTTGCAACGTTTTGTAATTGCATTGCCCATTCGGAACTGTTATCCTTGTGTTAAGATATTAGATTGTAGTTCAACAACTAGTCAAATGAATTGTAAATTTGTCCAACCAGTTTTAAAGCTGCAACACCCCAAACGCCAGGCTTCCAAATACTTAAAGATTATTAAAAGGATAGTAAAAGCTTTAGCAATGCTTTAATGTATTGATAACCAATTCTGATGTATGTCTAGTTTATGTTATTAGGAATCTTATTATAGCCACTTTTAAGCTTTGGTACACCCCGTGTCTATAAAAACAAATGCCAGAAAAGTGACTGCGCACGGACTCGCACACCTGAACCTGGCGATAATCAGGCTCAAAACTTGTCTCCTTCGGGTGACCAGTTCCAAGTCGTCCCCAGCCAATCCCTGCGCTCCTCAGTCGTGATTGGATTGCGTGAGAGCAGCCAGCCGGCAAGGTCCCCGCATCGATGCAACAGTTACGAGGAGCCTGGCAAGCAAGACTCGTGATCCGGTTGCCACTGGTGAAGGTGATGGCAACTGTGTTACGTGTAAAGAGCTAGGGAAACTGGGAGCCAGAGAGGCACTGAGGCGGAAGCCACCGCCGAGAGCTAGCGAGTCTTGGCTGGCAAGTCAAAGGTTGACCACATAAGACAAAACCACACAGAGATGACAGCATTTAAGTGGATGGAGTTTGGATGGAGAAAGTTTATTTGTCTGATGATCTTTTTTGCGGAATATTAACCTACTCACCCTTTACCTTTTACACATCCCCTTTCCCCGTAGTTGGCCACTTTCTGTCTGCCACTCGCCCTCAGCGAGTCCAATGCCACCAGTGTTGAGGGGACGCCGAAGACTGAGCCAAAAGCGGAGCTGGTGCCCACGGCGGAGAAACTGATCCGATACCGACGTCAGCCACCCTACGCCGTAATCAAGCGCTCCAAGCTGCGCCGGCGGACTAAGGGTCATCCCAAGATTAAGTACGGACCACCACCGCCTCACATTCGCTATTCGAAGCCCTCATTCCCAGCCCATATCGAGGAGCCCAGCTTCTCGCTTGATGACTTTCAGCACCTGAAGTTCGATGGTGCGGACTTTAAGATACCCACTTCCAGCTACGAAGCGCAGTCCATGGATCTGGACTTCTACAATCACGATACGGAACCGAATCTCTACGGAGCACACAAGTTCCCAAGCCTGGACTTTGGCTTGGTCACCACTCATGAGCACGTTCCTCACCAGAAATACGGCTTGCCTCCTGTGCATCAGAGCTTCCAGCCTGATCACTCTTTTGCTTCCCACTATGAGCCTCCTCCAGCTCCGGCTCATCCGCCGGCTACCCGCTATGGAGTACCCGAGGCTCCGGCTCCAGTACCCAGCTATCCGCATAAGAATCTGCCAGCTCCTGACTCGTATTCTATATATGAGCAGAAGATTCCCAATGTGGGGTACCATCAGAACTTTGCGGAACCACCCAAGCATCCTCCTAAACATAGTTCCATCAATAATCCTAACTTTGAAATTGCCTATTCCCCGCCCGCATTTGAGATCAGCACTTCCTATCAGTCCAATCACCAGCAGAACTATGTACCACCCCATCCTCCGTCATCTCATGATGGGTTTGCGGAGCCACCGTCTAATAATTATGTGAAGCCTCCGCTCCATCCTCCGACTAATAGTTATGCGCCACCCCAACATCCTTCTTCGAGCTATGACCAGCCTCCACAGCATCCTCCGCCCAGCTACAGTCAGCCTCCTCAACATCCACCCTCCAGTTATGATCAGCCTTCTCAACATCCCCCATCCAGTTATGATCCGCCTGCTCAACATCCCCCATCCAGTTATGATCAACCTCCCCAACATCCCTCCTCCAGTTATGATCAACCTCCCCAGCATCCCTCCTCCAGTTATGACCAACCACCCCAGGAGCACCCAAACTCCTACCAACATCCTCCTTCATCCACGTACGATCAGGCACCTCAGCATCCACCTTCAAACTATGTTTCCTCCGATTCCCATTCCATCAATACCTATCCGCAGGACGATTACGCACCACCGTCGCAGGAATTGCCATTGAATCCGCACCACAAGTCTCCTAGTTTCGATTTTCCCAAATCCAGCTACGAAGTGCCCATCTACGATCCCGTTCCTTTCGAAGCCTCCAATCGCGATGAACAGGAGTCTTATCCACCCATCCTGTCCGCCTCCCCCGATCTGAATGAGATATCTTCAGATGCCCATGCGGCTGGTAGTTCCAAGCGGCGAAAGAGGAAGCGAAAGCCCGGTGCTGGCGTTGTCCCCGCAAAGCATACCCTAGATGTTCCTGAGCTCCAGCAGGCCTATGAGGCGGATAGCCACTTGGGGGCGTCAAACGAAAATGCAGATACGGATGCTAATAGCTCCCACTATGTGGAGAGGAAGCAGAGCTTCTTCAACTTTGTCACGCCCACAACCACGACGTCGACGACTCCGGCACCTTGGACTCCAATGAGGGGCAGGATTAGTACGACCCGTACGGCATTCATACCCACCATTGTTACAAGTACTCCGGGTACTCCCACTTCTGATCGCAGTAGAAATCGCGGCTCTTCTCGGTATCGCAAGAACCAGCAACCCTTGAATCCCAGTTCACCCGATCCTATTACAACCAGCGTTCGAATCGAACAATCCCACTCGCAAAGCTATTACGACGGAACCATTGCACCACCGACCAGGCAACAGTTTTCACCCACAATCGGAGGGCGTGGCTCAAGACCTACAAGACCAAGTTACGTTAGAAACAACGGCCCGGTGTCACCGCTGGCACTGCAGCCGGCAGATGGTAGGGGTCCACCCACATCCAAGCGAACCACTAAGGGCGTCTTCGACACGACGCTGTTCAAGAGTCCCCTCAGTGATCGAGAATTGGAGAGAAATCTCCATGGGGTGCGCCAGAACTTGCCAAAAAATCACAAACTATTCTGAATTCTCAACGAAATCAAAAGGAGGCATAGCTTAAAGACTTGTTTAAATAGTACTTAGTTCTTTAAAATATACGTAAAATAATACGTTTTGTCCCTAAACTTAGGCTAATAATGTTGAATTTATTTAAATAATAAATAGATCGAGTTATAAATAAAACTGATACCATATTGATGTATGCAAGTACATTTGAAACACGAAACTTACCTTGCGTTCAATAAAGTTCCTCCACTTTTTGCTGGTGCTGTACATTTGGAAATCATTGAAAAAGACGGGCCCGGAGGAAGTTGAGGGCAGATCAGGGAGAGTGTAGTCCAAATTGAAGGCTATGCGACATTTTTCAAGCAGTGCTTTCATCACAGGCATCAGGAATGAGTACTCTTCCGGATTGCCAACTAAACAAAGAAATGTTCAAGCAAACGTTCACCAATGAAAAATAAACAATATATTTTAAGGACCCACCTTCAATGGCATTATCCAGAGCTCTATTGATGCTATATAGAAGATAAGACAGCTCCGCGGGATCTTCCGTAGAACGACTTTGGAGAATAGCATGCAGCTTGGCCGTTGCCATGGCAACAATACCGGGATTCGGGTGATGCGAGCACTTGAGCAGAAGACCCAAACACAACCGAATCATATCCGACCAATCGTCGGAGGAGCCCTGTTGGAAGATCATCAGGGCGTCCAGCAATGCCAGCACACCATCCAAAAGTTTTGTAGAACACTTCTTAGACTCATCTTCGTTTGAGCCCAGAACCACCAATTCATACACCATGCGCAGAATGTGTGATGCATTCTCCTGGTTGACTAGCGTTTGACTGCCGTGCTCCGATAGATCAAAAAGCGAGGCCTGCACGGCCATCTCCAGGATGCGTAGACGCAGGGAGAGATGCGAAGTAATCAACTCGTTGTTCAGAGCCAGCAAATTAATGCAGCCCAGCACCTGGCCACGCTCCTGCCAGCACTGCGGATGATCGTTAGGGATACCGCGCCAGAAAATGTTGAATAGCGTGTTTGAGACTAGATAAACCAACTGTTCCTCGGTGTCCACATCGCCATCGGCCACAAAGTCAAAGGCGGAGGTGCTCTGTTGGCAAAAATAATCAGTAAGACAGAACATTTAAAATTCACTTAGGCGTCACTTACCTCTAAGGAGTCACTTTTCTTGGGAGGACCATGAGGCGACTGCGAGGAGGTGTCGGAGCTTAAAGATTCCTCGCGCTGAATCGAAGGCGTCTGTGGACCATCAGCAGTGTCCGTCGAGCTGCCCAACGTCAGGGACTCGAAAGTGTCCTGCAGATCATGAGTGGTTTGTCGAATGACCGAAAACAAACTGTTAGCATTTTCAACCACAGCTCCAGAGACAGATTCAGCCAATTCTGGAATTAAAATACATTAGCATGTTTTACACTGGGTTAGGAGACAAGTTACCTTTAATTTCACTCTCGATGACTGTGGCTGCTTCTGTAACACTAGCTTGGATTTCGTTAAGTATTAGGCCACTGTCGCTCAGCTCCTCTTGCTGCTGCTGCTGCAATTGTGCGAGTCCTATCTCCTGCTCGGAAAACGTAATGAGATCGGCCTGCGCCAGGAAGTTTGAGTTATCTTCCAACAGCACGTCGAGGTTAATACCAAAACTGCGACGCTTCTCCTCGTCTGGCGGAGAACTGGTTATCGGTTTGCGGATGAGCAGACGGGCAATGGACTCCTGCCAGCCCGTTTGCTTTGCCATCGCTGCTGTGGATTGCTGCTTGACGAAGGTAGTTTGAAGCAGTCGTTTGGCGATCTCCAGTTTCACGGGAAGATCACAGCTGCTCACATGATAGACCAGAAATATAAGACCGGCATAGTCTGGCTGTAGTCCCAGCATTTCATCAACCAAATGAAATAGGATTGTAGAGCTCAGGGACAACGGTGTAATGAAGGAGAAAAATCCTGGGAACATGCTCTGCTCAGTAGTCTGATCGTACAATCGAAGCACTTGCTTATACTTCTGATGCACCCGCGATGTGGCCAACAGTCCGCTGATAAACTGCAATTGAATTATGGTATGTTATAGATACTTATCGAGATAATGCATGTAATGTTACCCTGATTGCTGCCTCCTGAATCTCATTACTGTAGCTCTTGTCCACGAAGAAGTTGTATATAAGATTGGCCGACTGAGGCTCGTGCAGAAGAAGAACCATCTGATCCTTGCAGTTCTTCCCGCGCACATAGAAAGTCATCATTTCCAGAAACTCCACAAGTACGACATCCTGCCGTACAGAAGCCAGAAATGTAATCATCGAATTTACCTCCTTTATGTTGACTTCTTTTTGTAGATAAAACTTTATGATCCCGAACAGCGTTGCTCGAATGGTTTTAGCATCGTCATCGCTGATGCTGTCTGGTGTGGAGTAGTATTGACGCACCACGTCCAGCACAAACTGGACGCCATACCGCTTGCGGAAGAACTTCCTGTCATTCTTAATCATGGCACTCAGGTATTGGGCGTGTCCCAGGGTTATTTGAAACTGCAGACGCGACCAAATAGCAAAGTCGAAGACAATGTGCGCATACAAAGCGTCCAATAGCTGTCCCCCTGCATCCGCCTTATGACCCTGCAGTGACTCCATCAGCAGGTGGGTGGCCATCAGCGCATTCACATCGAATAAAGACGGGGGACAGCGTTGGAGCATCGTGCCCACAATGGCCAGGCATTCGCTACTCAGCAGTTGTTCTTGGTTTGTTTCGTGCTCATGTGTGAGGTAGCGCAGTAGGCACAGAAAACTGGCCAGCGGATGTTGCAGCATTTTCCACTCGGTGTATGAGTTCGAGGATAGCATCTCCCAGTCTGTGAACTCTTCAGCCGAGGGTGTCGGTGCGCAGGACAAGGACTCCTCGCTTACACTTCCAATGGAGATGTCTGTCGTCTGATCCGAAGTGATTAGTCTATGCAGCATGGGTAATATTGCACTGATACCTCCGATACTATTGATTGTCTCCTGGATCTTAATGATTTTGCAGTGTTGGGCATTAATCCTTCCCGGATACTTTCCGCCTGGTATTAAGTCCTGGCAGGTTCCATGCCACACTGCTCCCGGAGCGTAACAGAAGACAAAGCGAGAGTTGAGTTCCAGAAGGTCATTGTCCTGTGAGAAAATGGAACTGAAATTGGAGCCCGCGTCGAAAATAGTTTTTAAGCTGGTGGTTGGATCCGCCAGTAGAACACCGCCCAGGTGTCCATTAAGACACGTTTGCTCTCCAAACACTGTATCCTGCATTCCGATGGGAAAGTTCTTTACATTTGGATCAAATGCCGTCTGTGTGCGCATCGGTAAGGTGAAGTAGTTTGACACCTAAACGAAAAAACTAGGTTAGAAATTGAAAATAAAACCAAAATCTTCATTTTTACATTTGCAGATAGGGTTCGCTCAAGTAGGCTGGGGAGCATTCCTTTGTAGCCACTGGATCCGGTCTCCTGAGATGAAGACCTGGACATACTCCCAGTCTTGGCTACTTCACCTGGTTGTGGTGGAGCCACCACTGCACCGATGGAGCAGACAGTAAATGGTTCATTGACTGCCTGAACTTTCAGGGTGGCACTCAGCTTCTGAACAAAATCCACAAAGATGTTAATCTGACTATACGAAAATGGTCGTTTTGGGGGCGTTATGGCCACGGTAAGGTAATGCCACTGGCCATCCATAAGTGTTTTGGTGGCAGTAGAGGAAGTGAGGTATTCCCGCCGGGTCAATGCAGCAACCACAACGTTTCCATTTGGCTGCACAAAGACCTCGAAACCACTGCCACTTGCAGTCTGCAGTGTAAGCAGCATTCGCCGACTGTTCGACTGCTCTTTCAGCTGATTAAATCGAACCAGAATGTGAAAGATGAAGCCATACGAGCCGGAGATAGTCCAGTTCCGAATATCGGGTACAAGAATGCCATCCGTCGGCTGCTCAATGGAAAAGAACTCGGCGCAGGAATTGCTGCCTCTTAGACTCTGCAAAGCAATTACAACTAGAGTCTGGAAGAAAGTTGACTATTAATTAGAATTCAAGATCATAAAGGGGTACAATTTCACCTGCTGGAGCTGCTTGAACTGCGGAAACTTCGTTCCCTGCCGCAACAATGAAAATATGCACTTAAGCTCCACGGGTACAATACTGAGCTTGCTTAATTCCTCTATCAACTTAATGAGATTCTGAACACAGTTCTCGCCCATAGATTCCGCCGTCAGGAGGCAACCACATACTGCCTTGATAATATGACTGCCACATGCCACAGATTTTCTGTAACATATAAAAGGCTTATGTATACGTTCATTACAGTAATCGAAGCTTATTTCCTTACGTTCTGTAGTTGTCGGTGCAGCCCTTGAGCACAAGGCTGGTCACATGCAGCTGCTCTCGCTCTTGGAGCGTTGGCACCCAATTGAGCAATCGGAGCATAACTTCGGGTAGCAGCAAAAGGTGCTCCCGTTCATCGTAACCCAGCATGAAGCACGTGTCCAGGAGGTCCACTGTTGGATTGCCAAAATCCTGCAGACTGGCAAAGAGCCTCTCGATGCGCTCACCCTGTCGCAACTGGGCCGCGGATGGAGGGGAGTGGCGCGTCAAAGCGGCCAAAGACTCCATGGTGCTACACAGGGAACTTGTATGGGATATGTGCCAGGGCTATAAAGTAGAACGACGATTAATATTGAAATTATAGAAGATAAGAAACCTTACTTTTATAAGCTTTGGCAGATTAATGAGAAGTTCCAGTAGATTGGAATCCAAAACGGCTTCACTAACAGCTGCATCGCCTGTCACAAAGAATTTAACAGCTGCCACAGTGGAGGAGAGTGCAGACATGTCTATAGCCACATCCTGGTCAGCATCACTGCTTATATCGAAATTGGCATCCCCGCTATCAAAGTGCTTTGTGGTCAGCAGCTCTTGGAGAGCATCACAATAAAGTTGAACTAAGATAACTAGGTCTATTTGGCGCTGTTTAGTGAATATGTGATTAGTTTACTGTGTAATTGATAGGGCAGGCTACTCACTTCTTCCGGACTAGATTTCTGCAGCACAATGACCATCAGCGCATAGCATTGCAGAGCTACGCGGCGCAGATTATTGGCACTCTCCCACTGCCGCAGGATACTCATGGTGATGGACACCGTGGCGGGGCAAATGGCCTTCATACCATTGCGCTGATCAGACCAAAATAACCATTATAAGGGTTGAATGCAACGCAGAACATGGGACACACAAGCAATGGCATGCATGGGCAACGGTTAGGAGACAACAATGATCGGGACAACAGATGGTTCCACCACTCACCAGGTTATCACAGTCTAGCAGCCCATCACCCGAGCAGGGGGCAAGTGAAGAAGTGGTTAGAGCGTTAGTATTTCTATTTGTCAGGGTCGAGGTCGAGTTTAGAGACTTCTGCACTTTCAACTGCAGCTGGAGAAGGTCCAGCCACATCAACGATACACGAAATGAAACGAAATAGGACATGGAAACAAAATGATAGAGCTCTAACGTACATTAATAGCGAAAGCAGTGAGCAGAAAGGTAAGCTGTCAGGAAGTGAGGTTAATAATTAAACGGTTCTTAAGAGAAAAAGGACTAGACAGGAGGGGACTGGAGACGCGTTCTGGCGCTACCTGCGAGCCGCAAATCACAGCGCCCAGGATGTTGAGCAGGCTTTCGCCAATTTCCGCATATCGGATGAGTTTCTCCTCCTCAAAGCAATCTGCAAAGCAAAACGAAATGTTAGTGGGCCAAACAATTATGGGGCAGTGATTGGAGTAATAAACTTAGGTGGGAAATCTGTTACATTAGGCTTGTTACGGCGGTTGGTAGTTACACTCCATCACTGGCTCAGTCCATCACCTCATCTTACCATAAATAAAAGGTACTATTTCCACATGAACGGAGTGGGGCTTATAGGAAAGACGACTATAGTCCGCCGACTGTCCTCGCAGAAAACTGCGCCACGTCAGATATGGATCATACATGACCTCCAGAAAAGCGGAGAAACTGCTGAACAGGTGGCTTATAGCGGGCACGCTCTGAGGCAGCTCCATTTGCTAGAATTCATAGATAAGTACATTTTTAGAATTCCCAGCAATATGTATAAGATATTTGCATACTTGTTTGAACACCCTGGAAAGTATGGCGATCAAATTCGGCTTGTATTCATACTTGATGATGGCCAGTATATTGTCAAAGTGCCGGCACACGATCACTAGACAGTCCACGAGTATGGCCACTTCTTCGATGGCCTTCTCTTCCATTTTACCTTCCGTTTCGCACACATCTCTGGCTACTATGATGAATTTACCGATGGCGGGCAGCAGTTCATCCGGCAGGCGGCCAAGGTGGGGACCACTATCCGGCTGAACCTCGTGCCACATCGGGCAATTTTCCGCCTGAAAGTCCAGCTGGAGCTGGCTTCTCCAAATGGCCACAAAGCGGGCCACAAATTGCCGGAAGTGGGTTTCATCGTTCTTGAAATGAAAAGAGAGAGGGAGAGAGAAGGATTCAGTTTGAGCCTCTCCGGGATTATATAATCATTACACTGTTTACATTACTTCAAGTGCTGATAAACAAAACCGTTTTGACTTGCAGTGACTAATGCTATAAACATTTGCGGCCGCCCCCGCAATTGAAGCGGCACCCCCCCGCCACTTTAGCAACCCATAAATCCGACTTCTTATCACTCGATTTTCTCTAATTGGAACCTTACCTTTGTCGTGTACTGCACCCAGAGGTTGTATATATCCTTCTTATTGTCCATCGTCGCGTTTTTCCATGCAATTTTCTCAGCTGAACGGCATTTGTTAATAGCTAGTTGAGTTTTTCCCCAAGGCAAATTATTTGTTTACAAAAAAAAATGTTGCCGACGATGTAGGTTGTTTTGTCCACAGACCAGTTTTTGCTCTATTTCGGCGACGTTTTCCGAGCTCCTCCGTGGGATCGAACGTATATATAGTCTGAGAGATAGCCTGTATAGAGTTAGCGAGCCGTGATGCAGATTTCAGCACATTTACAAGAACTTTTTGGGCAGATTTTCACATTGCTAGAGGCACAGGTGAAAACGACAACAGCTGATTGCTTCTTCTTATGTGCCATTCACTAATGTTGGGCAGTGTTGTAAAATGCGCGGGTAGGGAAAATTGTTGGCGCAAAATTTTAAATTGTGAATATCATTTATTAAATTTATGATCTTTGATCGTGATAAAAAAAATTTACTTCATAGCTGCAGAAATGAACCATTAAACGCTTAATAAAACACCATGATAACTTAGGCTGCTAAATGCGTATTTATTTCGAGATTTTCATGTATTTGGTTTCAATTCTAGTAGCATTTTGTTATTTGTTTGTCTGTTTTACATGATATTAGCTAATAGTTGCGCTTCTGTTGCCATTGCTTGACCCTCGTTAACTATCTCCAACTGTCGTTAAAAACAAACGATTTCTGTGTAGTTCTTGCCGCCTATCATTGATACAATATGCGCAAAAGTGCAGTTTATTGATGCGGATGCAGATGCTGATGCTGATGCGGATGCTCCTATATGCGCCTAGGCATCGAATTTCGATTTCGAGATTAATCGCCTTCGAGTTTAGAAATGACTTGGTTTGGTTTTCGGTTTTGTTTGTAATATAAAAAGGAAACGTTAGTTTATATTTAATTTCAGACCTAAATTATTAAGATTTAATGCAATATTTTATTTGTAAGTTTTTAATTGAATAGCTTGAACCATTTGTAGGACCTATAAATATTCACTATCCGTTAATAATCTTAATAAAATAAATATGTAGAAGAAAAATCTTATGCCTCCGTTTCAGTTAGTTAAAGCTGTGAGTTTTATCCGCATTAATTTGAAGGATAACAATGTTAGTTAATTTACGTTAATTTAATTTAATTTAATGTTAATTTAATTTAATTTACTTCAAATATAGGCATTCGACTTGCTTTCGTTTATCATTACGTTTAAATGAAATACACGATGCTTTCGTTTGCTAAATTTAATTTCTTCTGTTTTTCTTGTTCTGTTTTTACGCATTACGGGTTGCAGCACTTGAATGGGCATTACATTATTTAAAAAACCTCAGCGCCTCGATTTATCGATTTGTAAATAAGTTGCGCGCCTTGTTCTCTTTTGCTTTTATTTGCTCTATTTGGAATTTGGATTTTGGATGTTGGGCAATGGGTAGTGGTGGAGTTTTTTTGTGTTTCTGCCTCGAGACGACGACGATTGTTGCGAATAGAAAAATAATTCAAGTAAATATTTGTATATGCGTGTATAAGTATTATAGTTTTTCCTCTAGGTATATGAATAGCACTCCATGCTCGAGTCCATGCGGCCTATGTTTATTGTATTTGTACCAATCGCCTACGATCCTCCAGATATCAGATACTGTGCACATACTATAATGCCCGTGTATTGTAGTTTTGAGTGGGTGTGGCAGTCCGGAGTTACTCCGGCTATCTAGCGTGCTTCATGTGGGTGAGTGTGAGTGTAGTTGTGAGTCCGAGTAGCTAGTTCATAAGGTAAATATAATCTATCATAGTTCATTAGGTGCCGCTAACAGCTCTGAAGGTATTCAGGTTCGGTCGCATTCGCTGCGTTGTTGTCGATTGTTTCGGGTAGAAATACTTGGGGTTATCGCTTCACGTTTATCTCATGAGTTCATATTTCGGGTTGGGTCTCTGCTCCGGTGATCTCCGCCTGCTCCGTGGTCCGTGGCTGGCCGCTCGGCGGCCTACGAATCCAGCAGCGGCTCATTTTCCGAATCGGAATCTAACATTTTCCAGACCATGCGCCTGACGTTTCAGACTGCCGCCGTCGGCCCAGGAGGAGTTGAGATACTCGTCGTCATCGTCTTGCTCAAGTTTCTGTAAAAAACATGTGGGAACATTTTAGTTTCAAAGTTAGCGTCAAGCTTAAAGACTAAAAGAAGTTATTTCACACGATTTATGGGTTTTCCACTGTGCGCATAAATGTATGCTACAAAATATCACAAACAAATTTTTACGTATACGTAATATTGTTTTCCCAAGCAAACGCCTATTATCGAATCCTTTCCTTACTTTCAAAGTTAATACCCTGTCTGTTTCCTGTCTTACCCTTGCACTGAGTTGGACGTGGAGATAACTCCGTTCTCCAGCGAGTCCCTCGACAGCTCGTCGGCCATCTGGACTTTAAGCTGGTGACCGAACGAGTTGATCTCCGAGTTGGGCGTCATCTGCGAGCCCGCCGGACTCTGCGCGATGTACGGACCAGGCGTGGTGACGGAGCCACCCTGCGATATGGAGGCTGTCATGCCGGGACCACCGTTGGGCAGGACACCCTCCAGACAACTGTCGTTGGTAGTGGAGTCCATGTTGATGATCTGGCTGCCAGCCACATTGTCCGCCAGCACAGCACCATCGCTGTCATCCACGGCATCGATATCATCGATGTCCATGTCCTCGGCGTTCTTGTCCAGCGGCGCCGTCTCCTCGTCCTCGTTGTAGATCTTGAAGTAGGCGTACGTCAGATAAATCACCGAGATGATGAACGACGGTATTGGAATGGCCATCGAGTAGACCAAGTTTAGGGTGTTCTGCCAGTAGTCCAGGTCGCTGATGACCAGGCTCGGGTCCACCTTGGAGTAGTAGCAGGGGAACTTCATGCCGATCTTGGTGTACCTCTTCAGCCAGATGGTACAATTGAGCATTGGCGGGTAGCCACAGCCCTTTACGTTCGGGAAGAGCCTGGCTCCCACATAGTAGTACATGGAACGGTTCCCCATCAGACCCTCGTTCAGCTCGGAGATCTCGTCGAAGGGCCTCCGCTCGTCCGGAATGAGGGTTCCCGAAGCACTGAGACCGCGCGTGTCCTCCGAATCCTCAATGAGGTAGCCATTGGAACCGTCGGCATCTCCAAAATTAAGCTGCTCCAGCCGCCCGCCGCCTAGGTCGATGTCCAGGCCGGTGCCCCCGCCCAGATTATCGTACTCGTAGTCGCTCCTCAGAGCTCTCTCATAGCGATCCGTTCGCTTGACGGGCGGCAGGATGCGCTCCGACTCCTTGAGATTGATGTGGTACTCCGTGAAGTTGAACTCATCGGTGTAGTTGTATAGATTGAGGCGGTAGTTCACCCGGATCTGGGTGCACGTGTAGATGTCCTTGGTGCAGCCCTCGCGGCATGACGACCACGAGCAGTTCTTGGCCCCGTAGTAGATCTCCGTGTCGTACGTCTCGCAGAGCGCCGGTACCTCCTCGAACTGCATAAAGATCGTGGTGAAGGCGGGCTCGATGACGAAGGGCACCAGGAAGAGGAAGGCGAACAGGCTGAAGGTGCCCAGCAGGATGAAGAAGGCGGTGGTGTAGAAGAGCAGCTTCTCCTTGCCGGTGCGCTTGTCCTGCTCGTCTCCCATGTTTTAGCTCGATTTTGGTCGGGTTCGAAGTCTACTATATATTGTGTGTTATATTTAGGTTTATTAATATTATTAGTTTTTAGGCGCAGGTCTGGCGGTGGCGGCGGCGGAGCAGAGCGGCGATAAGTGCGATAACTTAGCTTACAATTGCGGCGATTACTGATCGATAACGATAACTAATAGCTAGATTACGATTACGGTGCAAGTTATATCACAGGGAGAGTTCGATTTCTCGTTTCGTTTGCTTTTGCTGTTGCTTCTGCTTTTGCTTCTTTCTCCTTGGTTGCCTGGCTGTCCGGTGTCCCGTTATCTCGCACATAGCTGACCTTTGCAGGGAGGGTCCTGCATCTTTGTGCTCCGGTTCATCGGCATCGCATCACTCGATTAGGCTAAATACTCCACGGAGTCCAAGTGCGAGTCCCACGTATCCCGCATCCTTAATCTCCAACAGCTTCCTCCGCCTCCTCCTCCTCCACCTCCTGGCAGTGTGGTGGCAACAATCCTGAACCTTTGCTAATTGCTTTATTCGTCCCAATGGAGATGTTTCGTCAACATCAGCACGTTGCAGTCGTCTTGCTTTTGCCTGATTTAGCTGCTTCTTGATTATTTTATGACTGCGGCAAAGCACTGGATGTTCGTGCGTGTGTGTCGTGTGTGGCCCGTGTGTCCTGTGTGCTTGGTGTGCTTGTGTATGTGTTTGGCCTGCCAATGGCCAGTTTTGAGGTCTCTCTCTCTCTTACTCTCTGTTTTTCTTCACTTTACATTTACATTCTTTCGAAATGTGTGTAGAAAAATGAATGCTGGACGGACAGTTTTGTTTGTCTTGTTCACTTTTTTGCTTTGCTTGGCTATTCCTCGCGCTCTCCCTCTCTCTCTCCAGCACGCTCTTCTTCTCTTCCTCTCCTTGCTATCCTTAACACGTGCAGTTCACAAAGGCTGTAAGAGAGTGTGAGTGCGTTTTAAAATACCGTTAGGCCGCGCTTTGCCGTTAATTCGTGTATATTTTTAAAGCCCGCAAAGGTGACGACGGCTATATTTATGTAACCCCGAGTGTTACGAAACGGAAACACGCGGCACGGCACCAATGAGCTCAACTCGCACTCGTCGTGTTTAAATAATAAAACTCCTTCGATGCACTTGCGGGGGGCGAGAGGGGCGGGAGGGGCAGAAGGGGAATGGGGGAGACAGAGTGGAGCCACATGTAATTTTCAATTCATTTGGCACGCTTTCACTCACACACATACCAGCTCACACGAACTGGAAACAGGCTGTGCACATGCAAGTAGGCTCTCCCCTCCCCCTTCCTTCTTACACACACACACACACTGACATACACAGAGCCTTAGGAGGGGGGGTCTGTAAAAGAGAGAAAGAGAGGGGCAGAGTGCCAGCTCCAATCGAAATTATGCGGCAAAGGACCTCCCAAAGGAGTGAGTGAGTGGGCTAGAGCAGAGCCCACTTCTTGTGCCTTGTGCCTAGCACGAAACGATTTTTTAGGAGGCACCATATAAAAAGATTTACAAGAACCACCTTGCTGGGCCCCCACCTCTTGGAGATCAATTAAATGTAGTTGAACTACAATTTTCAGGTATTTCGGTTGGGGCCTCTCCACTTCTAAGCCCTCCCCTGCCCCCCACACATCTCTTTCAAGTTCTTGTGACGTAGAGTTGCGTGCTCCCGTTTGTGAGTTTGTATGTGTTTGTAAGTGTCCGAGTTGCGCCTGTGTGTGTTTACTCAAGGTTCAGGTTACGCGGTGAACACGATGACAACGGAACGAGGATTACGCATTTTCAATCACAAATCACCAGCACACATTTGCTGTTCTTTGGGCAACCACTGTTTACCATGGAACGGAACAATGGTGACCTGATTGCGCACGGGGTCAAAAGTTGCTAGCGCTGAACAATTGTCACATTCACGCTCCACATTTTCTTTCGTGGCATTTTCGGTTCCTCTTGCCTTTCTTTGGTGGCAACAATACAGTGACAGACCAACAACGACAACGACAACGACAACTACTACGGCGACGGCGACGACAACGACGGCGACAACCAAAAAAGGGAGCAAGGCGACAACACGACGGCTGAACTCTTCAGCGAAAGGACTGCCTGCCACTGGCAACGCTGCAGCGGAATTAAGGGCCCACGTCCAACTGGAGCTTCGGAGCGGAGCTTTCTCCTGCACCGCCGACAAGCTCCAGTCCTGCGTTGCCCATTTGGCTAATAACCTGCTAGATCCAGCTGCTTTCGCAAGGAATGTGCTGTAGGAGCCACTAAAAATTCCCCTCGTTTGGCTAATCTAGCAAGTTGTATGTGTTGAGCTTGGCTATTTGTAGCTTCTGAAGCAAAAGCACCAAATAACTTGGCCTTGTATTGCCGCCTGCCTGGGCGCCATGATGTTAATAATGATTTCAGGGTTCCCTTTTTGGAATTTCCGAATTATACTTTGACGCATTATACTTTTAGCTTTTAGGTTGAATTTGGCGATTTTTTATTAAACGGAAAAGGCATAAAATGGCTCCTAGCATTGGTCCCTGCGCCACTAAACATAATTGGGTCGGAAGGAAATACAATCCTTACTAAAAATGTTTTTACAATATCGCTGTGGCCATATTTGCAATGGCATTTTTATTTTTTACCATTTAGCAAACCCTTAGATCTTTTAGCTAACATAACTTTTCTTGGACCAAGCACTTTTCAGCATCACTGGCTAAAGCTCTTTCCCTTCCATTCTCCAGCTGGGAGCAACAGCGGCCAGCGATGACGTAAAGCCAGTCGGCGCAGGCGCCCAGCGATCCCCGCCAGAAAGAGAGGCCCCCGATGGGCAAAAGCTGAGAAGTGTCAGAACTCAGAAGTGGCATAAACAGCAGGGAAACGTAACGAGTTCTCCTGTTTGGAATTTTCTCGGCTCGCCCAGCCACGGGGAAATGGTGGAAAAGTGCAGAAACGCAGCAATTGTGGCACTTGCTTAGCTAAGGATCAAAAAGAAGGTCTAATAAACCGTAGAGTTCCGTCGAAGAGTGAGCCATGTGCGGGTTATGAAACGATTTTGAAGGCACACTGTGTGCAACTGTGACTGTGACTGCGATTGCTGCCAGTGTATTGGTGTGGTTAACCTGCCCCCCAAGTCCAACAAACCCCTTTCCCCACGTGTGTGCGCGCCCCAGTAGCAGGAACGTAAATAAACCTCGGAGCTGAAACATCCTTAATTTACATGTGAGTACTGAACGAGAAACTGAAAATGGTAATCGAATGCAGGATCCTTCGATGACCCTCAAAATCGTTGCCTACTTCTAAGCGCACTGTCCATTGATTGGCATGCAACTAGAATTGCTCCCTGCGGCCATTGATTATTCCATTTGGTCCCTGATAAAACCAAAGTGGAGCGTGTTCAGTGGTTGTGTCAGTAGAAAGGACATTGTAACCAATCTTGTGATACCCTGTAATCATCATGCCAAGAATATTATATGTGTATATACTATGTCTACCAATCTCCCAAACACTCACAAAGTGCGTCATTCTTAGATCCCTTCATTCAGTATTTGACATAAATTTTTAATAGGTTTGTAGTGGAATCACGAAACTTTACCTATAAATAGAGTTACAAATAGGTATATTAAATCTAAAAAAAAAAACAGATTTCGTTGTGAAATTTATAAAAGGTCAACCCATAATAATTTCAGTAATAATAGCTAGGCAATTATAATTTCCTACATGAACGGAAATAAAAAAATCGTTATATGTAGAAGTTGAAACTTAAAATAAAGCTATGGAATCGCCTTAAATAGAAAAAAATGAAGCAAATATCTTTATCTATCTATATGTTTGAACCAATTCTACAATTGTTTTTGCAAAATAAAATGTAGAATGAAATTCCAATAAAAACCCTTTTTAACAATAATTAATTAATTAGAGTAATTAAAAAGTATTAAATTAAGCCGCCAAACCAACTGTTGGCCAGTGTTGAAAGAGATTGAGTGTGCTAGTGTTGGGCAACGGGTGGCATGAGCGGATTTCGGTGAGACGCGTTAGTAGATTTCCGCCAGCACAGATGATTAATAAAAACAGAATTTAATTTAACGCAAAAAAAGGAAAGTGGAGAAAATTAGCAACAGCCATGGAAGTATTCTTGACGATCATCTTCTTCACCGTCTTCTGGGCGGCGGTGGCCAAGTACGGACCCATCCTGATGACCAAGCAACCGCACGATGACCTGGTGCGCTGCATTTTCCTCCTGACCGCCGTCGTCTGCTGGCTTTTCTGGCTGTGCTGCTATTTGGCGCAACTGAATCCACTGCTGGGGCCGAAACTTAATGGAAACACCATCCGGATCATTGCCTCGTCCTGGGGAAATCCCATCAAGGAGGGATAAGGGCGTCCCGCCTAGGGATCTCCACATATGTAGCTAATCTCTGGCGGATGCTTCTTCCCCGGATTTCGGGATCTTAAGCCACATCACACACAATCGGGAGCTCCACGGAGGAAGTGGCTTCGCCAAACTCATTTTGTACTTCAATACTGGCACGCTGATAAGGTTGGGCTATCCAATCCAAAGATACGCCCCACTATTTCCAAACTAATCCCATTAACCTCTTGATGTACACTTTAACTGGACATTTTGCTGTTGTTTATATCTCAATTTCTTTGATCAGCATGTATACCTGTTTATTGCAAAGCATAAGCCATGTATTCTAACCATAAATCCAATGATTGCAATTTTTCAATTGACAATCTTGCCACATGAGCGATTTTTGTAGCCAGATTACTATTTACCTTTTTTTCCGTAGTGTAGATAATTTACTAATCGGTTATTGAATTTGTGATTTAGTTACTGGCAAATATAGAACAATTTTTCGTATACTTTTCTATTCGTTTATTTATTATAAGTTTCTAGAACATTGAAAACAAAAAGAGCTAGCAACGTATAATATTAAGTTTATACATACTTAACCACCACATACTACCGATTTAGTTAATATTTTTTCAAGATAAGCACCACATACTCCCGATTTAGTTCATATATTTTCAATTATATTTGTTTTTCAAGTAGTACATATCTATCTTTGAAAATGTGTCCTGTCGGAAGTGCAATTTATGTTATTTTTAGAATGATGCATCCCGAATAGGGCTATTGTATTTTCGCATAAATGTGGAAGGGGGCGTGCCCGGTGGTGGAATATAACTGGAGCAAACACAAAGTTCCCGCACATGGCGCACTCGGTGCACTTGCACTCTTGGCCATGTGGAGGCCGACTTAATCAATGGGAACGCTGGCTGGGAATGGGTATGGCCCGAGCGGAGCCAACTTGGCGGGCGTGGGCAGGGGAGCGGGGGCTGGAGCTGGAGAGCGGGGGATTCATGGAGCAGCAGGGGTGGCCTGCTCTTTTCAGCAATATGTGAATGCGGAACTATTGATTTTGCAATAAAAGTGCGCGCGCAGAGCCGAGATTTATGCCAAAAGCGGAGAGTAGCGAATTCCACGAGACCCGCCACGATGTGTGCCATGTTGTCGGCGGTCAGTGAGGAGAAACCGGAGAGCTAGAGAGCTGTGAAATCCGGAGACTCAAAGCCGAGCCGAATGCAGTCGCCAGTGCGGAGCAGAAAGCCTTGGGTCACGAGCCACCAGCTGCCAGTAACTCGAAGGGAAAAAATAATTGCCATAGAACAGCACTGCTCAAGAATTAACAAATAATTGTACATAAATCATAAAAATCCCAATATTAACCAGATAATTGTGTAAACGAGCGGAATCCCTGTAACTGTGTGAATTTGCTCCCCCCAAAACTGAAAGGGGAAACCCACTGGCACGTGATGCAACCAACGTATGGATGGGCCCAGTGATTAAAGTGAATTTCTGTGGGGTCAGCTAGCCAAAAATCGATAGGTTTGTGGCCTATCCAAGGAACGTGTCCTCCAGCTGGAAACGTGCGCAGCCTGCCGAGTTACCAATTTTCCCATTTTGTGGACCCATAGAAAAGTCGGAGGAAAATCTCAACCTACGCAGGGTTATATAACCGCACAACATACAACACCGCCCACGCAATTTTGCAGCTAAATCGATAGACTAAAAACCGACATGACGAGCTTCTAATTGGATTGCACGCGAGGGATTAACCAGCACAGGGATTAAAGAGGAGGCACCAGTGACCACCCACTTGCTACTTGGAATTACAGGGTAGTCGAGCGTTGAGAAATGGGCAAGAAAAAGGTGCCCGTTGAGGACCTGGTGGTTCCGCCGCAGGACACCCGGATATGCGGCACCATATGCATCTGCCAGATGACCCTGGTGCTCAGTTCCGTGGCTCTGGTCTACCTCACGGTTGCCATATACATGCCCTCCACCAGGGCCTTCAAAAGCGGCATTGATCCCACGCCGGTTATGTGCACCACCACACGGGCGGTGAACAAGGACAACTGCGAGTGGGGCAGCTGTGGCGAGTGGTGTCTGAGCAAGACTTCCGGAGCCTGCATCCAGATCTACGTGAATCTACGTAGCAATGGCAGCAATCTCATATTCCAGAACTGCACCAACTCGGCCAATAAAACGTGCTACGGCATCGACCAGGATCGGGCGGACAAGGCCAGGTGCATCAATGATGAGTGCAAGAATCTCACGGGAACCTTCAACTGCACCGCTGGCCAGTGCCTGAACATCACGGATGCCTTCGAGTGTATCTTCCACAATAGTGATGCGCCAGTCAAGTGTTCCGGCAGGCGGGGAAAGATCAACTGCATGGACATCAGCGGATTGTACTCCTGCAGTCGAGGAACCTGCCGGAAGATCAGGACGCCCTACAACTGCGACCGGAGGTGTGTGGACATACCCACCCGGAACAAGAACGTGGTGGTCCTCAGCGGGGACAAGGTCTACCTGTCGCAGTGCCAGAATGCCATCAATGCCGAAACCCTGGAGGAGGTGTGGAATGAATCCAGCGACAATGTGGCCATGACATCGTGCTACTTCATCAGGCACACCTCGGACCAGGTGGATGCGGTGGACTGCATCAATGGCTCCACTTTGGAGACCAACATGCTCAGCGATCTGACGAACTTCACATATCTGAGCCACCTGCATGTGTCGGTGGCCACTCCAGTGCCGGAGATAGCACCCCCCGATGTGGACCTAACCATTTCCAACGAGTCCAAGCTGATGATCAACCTGGAGGGGTGTGTGAACACCCTGATGGACGAGTGCAAGGAGTTCCTGAAGGACTTCGGGCGCGATGGCAGCGATCACAATGCCCGGGCCCGCTTCCCGTGCTTCTATTCGCCCGGAAAGAAGGACGTGGTGGTGGCCCGCTTCGACCTGGAGGTCACCTATCGCCAGTTTGTGTTCGCCTCGGTGGTGCCATCGGTTCTGTTCGTGGTCTCGTGCTCCATCCTGATCATGTGCCAGACCACCGTCTACGTGGGCGACGATGCCAAGATGCGGTTCAAGGGATGTGTGGACACGGAGACGGTCCTGAACAAGAACAACGTGGGCGCACCCACCAATGGCGACATGGGCGGGGGCGGCGGCGATGAGGTTATGGCCCTATGAGATCCGTCACGTAAGCTCTATATTTCGGTACTCTAATATCTGGACATCTCGTCTCTATAATGAATTTTCTCTGACGACTTGCAGTCTTTGCGGTAGCCCACATGTGAGAGGTCTACCAGGTGTTCTAGGTCTCTATGCTCAATACCCCTTGTTCCGAATTCCATAGAACGTAGAACAGTCTCTAGATTTATTCCACCTTATAAGACATCAATAGATACTAGAACAGAAGAGCTAATAGTCAGGAGCTATACACCCCCAGTTTCCTACTTTCCAATAGAAAAGTTGGAACAGAAATAATGGCTATACCCATCCTAACTCCTTGTTTAGAAGAGCGATAGTTTATAACCCATAACTTAGGTAGTTCCTTAACTTTCCCTTAATGCTTTAATCTCTTGTACTAACATGTAGTACTGTATCTTCCAGGCATTCCTCTGCTCCAGGAAGACAGTCCGACACACCAGACGGGAGTCTTCGCTTTGCAATAATTGGAGTTGGGCACCAGCTGAAGTCAGGAACACAATCGAGCAACTTGAAATTCTTTGTAATCCTTCCATCGAACTTTTGACACTCCGACACCCCAACACACAGAAAGACACAGAGACCACACCTCAGAGGCTTGCAAGGACACTACTGAGCTAACCAGGACAAACTGAATCTCACAGACCGAAACCCAATGCGAGGCGCTTGACATTCTCAAGATACGACGATCGGCAGATCTGAAGACAATATTAGTATATTTTTCGACTGTTTAGTTCGGGATTAATTTAATATTTTTTTTTTTGAATAGGGCCAGAGGCTGCAGGACTTGTAGGATATAGCAGGAGATTTAAGGGCGAGGTTATATTTAAAGTTATTGCAATTATGGAACTTAGTTTTATCTAGGGAGTAAACGCACACACGCACGCACACCCACATGCACAGCACACACACAGATACACCCACAACAACACACACCACACCACCAGAATCGGCTGAAGATATAGAAGATATAGAACAAGGTTCAGTCACCGGGAGAGAGGGCAGAGAAATTCAAAAATGGCTTAGAGTGAGGGATGCGTGATCAAAAATCTAAAGAAAAATCTCGAAACGACAACTAGTCGATAAAGTCAAAGCAAAATAAGTTAACCCCAAAAGGCTAACACAAAAACATAATAAGCATTAATTTAGATAAAAAATAATAATAATAAAAAAAAACAAAACGATTTAATATACAAAGAATACAAAATAAGAAATACATTTTCCATTTCGGCTATAAAAATAAGGCAGATGGGCGCAGGAGATTGTTAGAAGATTAGGCTAAGGGATCCCCAAGCAAGCGAGATCTTAATTGTTGTAGAAGCGCGAATGTTAGCGGTGTTCATTTTAAAGGCTTTTACCGATCCAACTACAAACTAAGCACCCCACACGAACCCACACCCAAAACCAAGAGAACCGTATTTCTCCGCCATGAAGAAGAGCTCCACGCTGACCACGACCACGTCGATGCCGGCGAGTCCGACACTCTCGGCGCAGACGCTCTCCGCCAGCAAGATCAGCCTGAACAGCAGCCGGTGCGGCTCGGCGGGATCGGGATGCGGATCCGCATCCGGTTCGATGCGCTCCGCCTGCCAATCCCCGGTGCGGCCGGGGAGCGGATGCGTGGACGCCATCAAGGCCAAGCGCGAGGAGATCGAGATGGACACGCTGCTCGAGAAGGCAAAGTTCTATACCTCCGTGTGCCTTGGTGAGATTACGGGTGGCAAAAACTGCTTGTACATAAAGCAGCGGTCTGGGCATCTATATAGAATCTGCCAAATGAAGTACAACCGCTGCATTGTTTACAAGCAACCTGACTTCTTGAATACCCTGCCTAACTGTCATGCTTCTAACCCCCAGGTACGACTGCCATTTTGTCGGTGTTCACATTCCTCTTCCTGATACCCTTCGTCGTGGACCCCGCCATCTCAACGATCATAGCGGACTATGATCCAGTGCCGGTGACCTGCATCGTCATCGACCACATCTACGCGGAGGGCATCAAGAACTGCAGCTGGAGCTCCTGCCGCGAGGGCTGCACCTCATCACTCACCAAGTCGGTCCTCAGTACGCCTTATTATATACATTATATACATATTCGCCTTACTCCCAGGTGCCATCAGTTGTTTGTCAACTATACGCGCATCCCGTTCAGCGAATGGGAGCGCAATCCTCGGGACCTAGACACGGTCAACTGGGATGTGAGCTATACCAAGTTTCTGATCAACTCAGAGGGTTGTGGCTATCCACCCACGACCAATTGCAGTATATTTGCCAGGCAATATGGGTGAGTGAGAAGATCGCTGGAGCCCATCACTACGAGATTCCTAACCCGAATCCTTACCAGGTTCTCGCACATCGGAGAGCCCTTCCCCTGCTACTACAGCAGGGCGTATCCGGAGGTGGTCATCGGTCGGTACTCGTGGGAGAACAACCTGTACCACTTGATCCTGTCACTGATCATACCGAACGTGCTCTTCGCCATCTCGATCGGGGTGCTCAGCTATTGGTACTGCCCCTGCTGCGAGAAGGCATGCAACAAATCCTCGCGGGTCTACGCCGAGAAGTTCCCGACCAAGGAAGAGTGAGTGCTATTCCGTACCAGCTGTCCCGCATCTTGTTCTCATTCATTGCGAAAAGTTTGGCAAATTTTAAAACCCCCGTATTCGTATTCGTATCCGTATCCGTATCAGTATCTGTATCTGTAAATTACACACCTAGATCCATGGACCATGTACTCATTGTGCCTTGTATGAAGATATTGTCGAGAATCAAAAAGCCGTTTTGTCATGCTGTATCCTCCTATGAATGTATAACTTCTGCTTTTTGTTAATCGTTAAGAAATTGGCCTAATCCATAAGTCGAACCACGAATGTAACCCTTAGTTTCCCTGTTTATTTACTTCCCAATAGCCTTTGTATTCTATTAGCTTTTGTTATCTTCTCTATACTACTCTATATTACTTTCAGGATCGTTAACTGCATGAAATGTAACACGGAAAAGTCGTTGTCCTTGAATGTATTTTGAATATGATCTAATCAAACCGCGAGTGCCCGACCTTTGATCCCCAGAAATGTATTGTGATAGGTTAAGTGCGATGGTATTTGCTATATAATCCCTGGATCCATCGATCCAGATATATATCGATCTTGCACATATTGTGTGGCACCAAGTTCTAGCTAGTCCACTGAAAAAAAAAACACTCGCATCTATTTGAAACCCAATACAAATTGTTACTCTGAAGTGTCCTTAGCAATTACTGCCTTCCTTAATATTTCCAATTGTAGTCTCGTTTTCCTTATCGCACAAAAGCAAAACACCATTCGAAAGGAATTTTGTATGGTTTATACACACGATCACTCAAAAAAGAAATACAATCAAAACTCACAAGAAATGTACTCAAAATATTAAAGTTATAGGCTCAAGCAATACAGATAAATTACAAAAGGTTTCTTTCATGTTTAAATTAATTAGTTGACACTCGGGATCGCAGCATTTCCCTTTCCCTTTTTTCTATAGTCCATAATGATATAATAACATATCGAATACCCTCAAGTTAAAACGATCTTATACTAGAATGGCTTTAGAAAATGTTTTTGCATGCTTTTCTTTTGATCTATTAGAAATGTTTGTTAATTTCTATTCTAGAATGGCATGATCCGTTTATCCCAATCTATTTAGCAATATATAAATATATATATACCGCTTTAATCTGACTAGCATTGATTAAGAAATCTGTTCCAATCGCATTCCAATTCTAGCAAACTTCTGTGTCACAGTGACGAAGATGATGATATGGAATACTAGCAAAAATAATATTAGTTAAAGCCCTTAACAAATAGCAAATTCAACTTTGTAGTCTGTACCACACATAGCTTACCTAGATATATATATACAAGCATATAGTATTCCATTTGCCATCACATCGGACGATATATATATATATATAAATCAAGCGGAGCATCGCCGAAGGAGTAACTTTTTCTCAGCCATTTTATTCAACATTTAGCGCTCAAGAGATTTGTTAACATAAACTTTGCAATCATATTGTTATGCTAGTTATATGAAAATTTTGTTGGCTTCAATTGGCTTTTTTTTTTGGAGGCGGTCGCGATGCTCCAATCTCGACTTCGATTTTCACAGAGATAATACCAATACCAATTAATGAGTCGCTTGTTTTCAACAAATTGTGATAGTAGTCATAAAAATATTAAGTAAATTCGTAAAACTAACTAAAACGGAAGCGAAAACCAAAAAACCAATCAAACAAACAATTGTATAGAACCGAATCCGCTCCAGGCCGCGAAACTCGGCGAAGATTCATAGAAACGGGGCGGTACGAACTCCAGAATGAAATAAACCCAGAAAGATAGATATACCACAAGATACCAGATACAATTCATTGGGGATAAGCAGCGGAACCAAATTATTCACTCACAACACGCTCACATTGGGACACTCTCAACATTTTTGAAATAGTTTTAACGATCTTATGTAAAAACCAACATCTAAACGGATTATAACAGTATACATATATAGACATATATATATAGATATATATACGTATACATATAGCTTAGCAGAACCGATATAACGCACGTTGCTTATGAGAATTTTTTAAATCATACAAACCAAACCGAAGAACAAACCAATTTGAATGCAAAACGATTAAAATTTTTTACTTAACGTGTCTTTATCAATAAACAAATTAAACCAGCTAACGGCCTATTTAATAAACAATTCAAAAATGAAAGAAACCAAAACAAATGTGGAGAAATGCTAAACAAAACCCAAAGCTGTTTTTTTTACTTAGCGAATTCGGGGCGAGAGTAGCGCAAAACAAGGACACGCTGGTGGGGAGGGGGCATCCTCTCCAGGCGCAGGCGTGCTTCCCAGGATCCGGAACCGTTTGTTGAGCTGGCTCCATCCCTGTCCCGGTTTCCATTTCACTCAAGGGTTTATTTTGGCCTGGGCCCCATCACTTTCGCTTTCGCTTTAGAAAAAGTAAAAGTGCGCAGTGTCCTTTGGCAGTCCTGGCATTACGCACTCCTTCCGCTCCGGGTTTCAGTCAGGACTCAGTTGCCGTCGGGAGTGGACGTGCGAAAATCGGGCAAATAGGCGCCTTCAAGCAATCAGAACTCATCCATCAAACATTTACTGCGTTTATGCGTTGCACTTTTCGCGCAGAGTGCCAATTCGTGTGTGCATAAACGAAAACAAACGTTTAAATGAAATGCGTGAAAGGGCGAGTCGCAACCCTGTAAACTCAGTATAATTTGGGTGGCAACTCCGTCCGCAAATGAAAAGCAAATTGGACGAGTCCTTAACTGGTTGAATCTCGCCTTGGCGGCGTTTGAACGTCAGACGTCCCAGTTCCCCACCTGCCACTCCACATATCGCTTTCCCGCACGTCCGAGTGATTTTAAATTCCAATGAGCCAAGCTAACTAAAATAGAACAGCAGAAGCCACCCACCCACCAACCACCACAAACAAACCAAAAACCACCCACCCACCAAAGCAACCACCACCCACCAAACCAAAAAGGAATCACCTTGAGAACGGCGTAGGGTGACAATACATAGGACCGCATTGGGCAGGAGGAGCAGGGCCGGAAGTGGGCCACCAAAT